ATCTCCAGGGAAGTATCAACATCGCACAAACCACTGCTCGTGGAGCATCATTCGAGATGCGAGCTGCGCAGGCATGCTCGGACGTCCGGCATCGGCACGACCGTCTTCGGACAACTTGTTCATCAGCGCTCTGAAAACTGCAGTCTAAAATCATTGAACTGTGGGTCCGCTTGCTGTTCCCTTTGATTACCGTCAGGTAGGCATTCTCAAAGCCAGTGACCTGAGTTGATTGAATGTGGTCACGTGTTTCTTAATAGGGTTTCTTGAAGGTTTCCCTTTTAAACCAAACTGAAAAAAAGGTGCCCAGCCTCAAAAAATATACACACGCACAAATGTTTTGCTGGACATACTGGCGCTTGCATTTGCTCAGGGAGTGACTGCATCTCTGCACCGAGGTGGCACTACTACCAGGGAGGTCTCTGAAAGCCTGGGCCACAGTTGCGGCTTGTCCATGCCCAAGAATCGGCCAGTTCTCCAAATGGGATTCGGATCCCCTTCGGGTGGGTACTGGAAGGGAAGCCAAAATTTGAACCATGCGTTCTAAGGAACCCTATGTTGAGAAACACCCGACAAGGAACGCTAAACCAAGAACTCCGTGTTGGTGGTTTTAAATATGTTGGGCAAGTTTTGTTTGATTGACGTTTACATTGAAGATATAAGGAGCCCTGTTTTGCCAACGTAGTCCTGCACAGGATGCAAGGTGGTTCCATTCCTTGCTGTGGCCATGTTCAACTGTGTCCAGATGACCCAGAGGATGTCAGGGTTACCAAACAGCTTACCAACTAGTTGACTTTAAATTCTGCCCAGCCGCTACTCTGCCCCTTCAGACAGCAATGGCACAACCAGCTATAGATAGTAACTGGTTGCTATGCTGAGGACTTCTTAGAGCTTAGATAGCCAGACAGTGGATGCCTGCATAGTGGCCCCGAGTGAGACTAGCCATGGCAATCCTTAGTCATGAGGGGAAGTGATGTCAGGACGCCAGAATCGGGGACACAACCGGACGAGGTGTCTTTTGAAGAAAAAGGATGGCAAACGACTGTTGTTGTTGTTGCTGCTGCTGCTGCTGTTGTTGTTATTGTTGCTGCTGCTGCTGCTGCTGTTGTTGTTGTTGTGGTTGTTGTTGTTGTTGTTGTTGTTGTTGTTGTTGTTGTTGTTGTTGTTGTTGTTGTTGTTGTTGTTGTTGTTGTTGTTCTTGTTCTTGTTCTTGTTCTTGTTATTGTTATTGTTATTGTTATTGTTCTTGTTCTTGTTCTTGTTCTTGTTCTTGTTCTTGTTCTTGTTCTTGTTCTTGTTCTTGTTCTTGTTATTGTTATTGTTCTTGTTCTTGTTCTTGTTCTTGTTCTTGTTATTGTTATTGTTATTGTTCTTGTTATTGTTCTTGTTCTTGTTCTTGTTCTTGTTGTTGTTGTCGTTGTCGTTGTCGTTGTCGTTCTGGTTCTTGTTCTTGATCTCGTTCTTGTTATTGTTGTTGTTATTGTTATTGTTATTGTTCTTGTTATTGTTATTGTTCTTGTTATTGTGTGTTGTTCTTGTTCTTGTTATTGTTATTGTTATTTTTTTCTTGTTATTGTTCTTGTTTTTGTTGTTGTCGTTGTCGTTGTCGTTTTCGTTGCCGCCGTTGCCGTTGCCGTTGTCGTTGCCGTTGCCGTTGTCGTTGTCGTTGCCGTTGCCGTTGTCGTTGTCGTTGTCGTTGTCGTTGTTGTTGTTGTTGTCGTCGACGTGATCGCAGAAGAAATGGAAAACATGTCCTGTGCCTGCTTTAAAAGAGGCATAGATAAGGCTAAACAAGCATGCTGTATGCAGTTTGAATTGCCCCTGCAATCAACGTCATCAGTCACAAGGCAACATAATTCTGCACACAGTTTTTCAGGTGTTTCAACTTTGGAAAGTCCCAACTCTCGTGGTCTTTGCGACCAGTGTGCAGTTTACTCCCAAGTCATCATGCGAAAACATGCTCAATTGCATATATCCCCTTGACCCCATGAGTCCCAAGTAATTTGCGCCCAGTATATATTGGGGTTGCGGGCTACTTTAACTCCAACTCAAGTCATGATGAGAAGATAGCACAGTGTAACGAATGTTTGCCACTTTGAAAGACCAGTTGTTTCCTGGACGACCAGCAGTTGCCATTTATCTTGTGGTCAGCAGGAACATAAGTGTGTCCTTTTTTCGAGGGTACCCCATTTCTTGCGGTGTTGAAGGGGATCCGAAGGAAAAACACACAACCCACAGTCTGTTTCGGGGGTCCGACACACGCCCCCATACCGAGGGGCTCTGAGAAGGGGGGGGGTCATGGCGGTAGGCCACTCCGAAGCTGGGAGCATTGGATCACGTGACTCCAAGGCGGGGGATGGAGCTTTGATTTGGGGACCCAGGGTCTGATTCGAGGTTTGGGGTTTCGAGGTTTCGGTTTGGCAAAGGTGGTCAGGTCTTGGGATGACTTTGGAGGAGTTGGGATGATTTGTGGTTGTGTGTCTTGAATGTTGTTTGGGTGGAGGGCGGGTTTTGGGGGTTCGGGTGCGTTGTTGAAGGTACCCGTCGTGAGTTTTCTTTAAAGGGAAGCCAATGTGATACTTGAGCTCCCTTTTCGAGCTCCGTTTTAGAGCTGGGAGGAGTTGCAAAGAGTCAACTATGCAGATGCAGATCTTACCTGGCAGCAAAAGGATCTGGAAGACATGTGCACGGAGATTTCTTCATGGGGATCCAATTGCAGTGAGCCAGCGACTGAGCTTCAGTCAGTTCTCAAATTTGGATTAAACTGCGTAAGACTTGTATTGTACAAGCAACGAGTTGGTGATGACACCATCCTATTCGGTAACACGAGAAGAGATGCTCAAGTACAGATCCATTGTGGCATCAATCTTATGGCATCGTACGGAAGTCAGAGACTTGTCATCAATTTGATGCAACAACTGTAACTCATTCTTATTGTTTATGCATTTGTAGCAGATGATGGACACACGCACACAAGCACAAACACACGCACACGCACGCACGCACACGGACGCACACGCAGACTCTCAGATGATGTTGGCTTTGGATATACAGGGCCTTGTCGAACGTCCTTTTCTCAATCAAAGCTGCCACATATTTCTCCCGAGCAGCAGCAACTGCTGCATCACGCGCAGTAATTATTTGCTAGCATGCCAATCGTTCGTCAGCCGCGTGGGTGCATCGCGCTCTCTTATCGTGATGTTCGGAGGATGAGAGAATTGTGTCTTGATAAAGCCCTTCAGTGGAAACAGGCAGCACTGGACATTTGCTTTGTCAGGCTATTGCAGACGTTAAGGTAGTATGCACATTCAACGAGTGAAGCATGACGTGTTGCACTATTTCGAGGGAGGAGCAACACAGATGCATGAACTTGACCGTTTCATTCGGAGTCGTCTGGCGGGCTTCGGAGACAGTAGACTGCTTGTCGTGCGCCTGCCCGAGACCATGGCCGTAAGCAGTTTGCCTAAGCCCAACCGCAACGACTGTCGGGAGAGACAACATCTTTGCATCGTTCTTTGGAGTCCCAGCTTTCGCCCATTGGTTTAAAGCCCCATAGGCTCATGGCTTTCAAAAACGTTCGACGCGTCTGTGTCCAATTTGGTCTTCGACTACAGGGCTCCTTGGAAGTCCCGTTTTGGAAGGATGAATTAAGCATTGCAGTTTCACTACTGGCCATTAGAATGTTTCCCTTTGAGGCCTTGTTTGTTCAGACGGGTTTTCCGAAAATTATTTGAATCCCCAGGGTTCGATGCACCTGGCCATTTGAATGTTCCCCCTTGCTTCTGCAAAAGGGTCCGAAAATTATTGGAACCTTGAACCCCCAAAGTGCGAAGCACCTTTTCGGTGGGGGCCCTGGCCCTGGGGTTTCTTCCCCCACGCTTCCCCCACGCTTCCGAAGGACGAGACCGAGCCATTTGGGCGCAAGAGCGTGTCCAAGGGGGTTGGAGGCGAGTCTCCGCGTTCTGGCAGCCTCTATCATTTGTTGGTGCATTTTGCCAAGGGATGTTGGGACTTTAACTTTTTGCCAACTAATGAGTTTTCCACTAAACCACCAAAAGTTAAACTTTTAGCAGGGGAGCAGACAGCAACCGAGTTTTTGTGCGGCGTATTTTTCTTCGGGAATCAACATGTCGGGGAGTCTAGTTGAGTCCTTGACCTGTAGGATGCCATGGTGTGCATGTCATGCCTCTTGCGATTTGGAGATTGGACCATAGCACATGTTGACTGATGCATTGTCCACTTGTTTACCATATTATTCAAAACCAATTGGGATCCCATTTTGGGGTCTTCGGTGCACCACCCATTTTAGAACCTTATTTTAGTGGTTGGATTGGGATGTTCACTGGGGGCTAGCCGGGGTTTTCACCCATGGCCATGGCTCAAAAAGCTGTACCAAAATGGCGCCTTGGTTAATGGAAACACGGACTAAAGCCTGTGTACCCCGAACTGTTGAATTTGTTGAGCCACACTCATATGGTTCAAGTTTATGAATAGGGGGTGTCCTTGGGTTTAGTGGGGAATCATTACTTTTGGAGGGGAGCACCCCCTACTAAGAAGTGGATTAACATGGGGTCAACGTTACCCCCCTTTTGATGGACTGTTTTGAAGGAATGTGATCCCTTTAGTCACTAGTCACAAGCATATAGTTGACCAGGGCAACAACGTATTCCGTGAATCAGGCAATGTCGAAGGATGGATGTTAGATAGGCCTCTGCGACAGTTTTTCAACAGGTCAGAGTGGTATGTGGTTGAAGCTGTAAATGCTACATGTGGGAGGACCTGGTTTCCGCAGAGTAATTCAGTCACGCTATGCTTGCGGAACTGGGTGGTTCCTCGCCTTTCAAAAAGTATTGGTTCGCGACTCTTTCCCTGACAGCTCCTTTCCTAGTTGTCCCCTGTTTCAGGCTTGGCATTTTTGTTCGATTAGTGTTTCAATGGCTTGCCCAGGTCTCAAACTCTCAGAGCCTTTGCGACTCTGACACAGGAGCAAGTAACCCCACCGCAGCTGCAAGCGGATCAGTGTTTTTTTCTTCTTTATTTTCCAACTTTTGCCGCAGCAGCATGGCGGGCATTTCACCCGTCTACGTACGACTGGCAAGCACGGTTTGCTCAGTGGCGGTGCTAGCAGCGAACTACCAATGGCTGTCTATGCTGCAACTTGCCTGAGTAGTCCTGCATTAGGCCTTTTCTCGTTGGGGGGGTGTTCCAGTAATAGCGTCTATTGTGGCACAGCCCAAACAAGCTGCATTTCGGCAAGCCGACTGTGACAGTCAGGCCATCGAACGCTCTTGGGCCGTTGCTTTTGAGCATAGCGACGTTGATTGCGCTCAGCTTCATCGGTGACAAAGCTCCCGAGACAGAGAAGCTGCACAGATTTCCCGCGACCGACTGGAAATCGCCACTGCCCACCACAGGCATGGTTGGGAAGAATATGCTGGATCGATCATGCCATCTTTGTTGCGTGGCAGCCTCTATCATTTTCTGCGGCGTATTTGATTCGGGAAGAATCAACATGTCGGGGAGTCTAATTGAGTCCTTGACCTGTAGGATGCCATGGTGTGCATGTCATGCCTCTTGCCATTTGGAGATTGGACCAAAGCACATGTTGACTGATGCATTTGGCCTTCCATTTGTTTACCATATGGCCAGGTTCAAAACCAATGGTACCATTTTGGGATAGGTGCACCACCCATTTTAGTCTATTTTAGTGGAGATTGGGATGTTCACTGGGGGCTAGCCGGGGTTTTCACCCATGGCCAAAATCCTTGCCAGGCATTTCGCTTTGTCCCTGCGAGGCATCAGAGACACTTTCCCCAAGTACGAGCCCAAGGATCCCGCGAAGTCTTTCACGCAGATCTGCGACAGCCTGATCAAGGAATGTACCCAGGACTTGTCCACTTCTCATGACCCTCGTCTGCATGGCTGGGTTTGAGTTTTAAGCGGCCCCATTGGTGAACAACATTTAGATTTAGGTGGGGATTTCTGTCTACCAAGCACTTTCAAACGGGCTTCCTGGCCAGCTTGTCAAGAGAAGGCCCCTGGTCACACATGAGCAAGCTTCGTCTCTCAACTGACCCTGCAATAATCAGGAGTGTTCTTCAAGAAGTGAAGGACCCCTCCCAATTGGGACACGCTTGTGCTTATCAAACAGGGGTCAACATTTCATCCTGGGTTCTCATTTCGGCGGAGGTGCCGGAGTTGAGTCGCTTGCAGCCCGCCCAGGCTGACATGGAAGCGGTCTCTTCACTTTGGAACGACCATTGTCTCCAAAACGAAAACATTTAGCAACATGAACTTGCATTGACTGCCGTGCAATGATTGACGACTGCCACGGTCCAAGGAGTTGCCACCGATGGAGAAGAAGTGGATCATTGACATGCTGGAGTACCTCGGTCCGAGTTGTCTTGTCGGTTTTTTGTTTCTCCAGCTTTTGCTTCACCACTTTTGATCGGCAGGTGAAACTAGGGTGAGTTTGTGTGTCAGTAAACTACCCACAAGGAAGATAAACCGCGAGTGTTCAAGTGGTCCCCCAGGGTTGGAGTTGCTGGTCCGGTTTCTGAGAGCAGGGGAGGCTACAGGTTCTTGCCATTAGCTCCAGCGACAGGACTTTTTGCATGCCCAGAGAACCAAAGCGCACGTTTAAAATGTTTCAAGGGGCACCCTATGTTTTAAGGGGCACCCTAAAAATACCCCAAACTTACACACCCTATGGAGGGGAAAGTGGATGAATTTCAATGAGAAACAACCATAAAACACAACGGACGGTGGTCTGATTGCCCCTTTTGTTCGCTTTCGGGACCCTTCCGCATGAACCTGACTAGCCGGGGCTGAATAGACATCAAATGCTTGAGTGGCATTTCATTGCTTGGCTTGGGAAGAAGGCATAAAAGCCAAACTTTAAGTGCTTGAGTACTTGAGTTACTTAAGGGGCCATTTCCTGTATCCTTGCTGTTTTTTTTGAACCTGGCGTCTTCTCCAAATCCATGTTCTAGTTGAGTTCTATTCATGAACCAGAATCTGAAAAACAGTTTGTTTTGTGTGTACCAATCGGTTTGGTGGGCTTTGAGTCTGACACCTCCCCGGTAGGTACAACGTGAAGGGCGGCAAGATGAATCGGGGGCTCATGGTGGTGCAGAGCGGTGAGGTGATCATCCGCTCTCAGGGCCGCGAGCCGAGCGAGGATGACCTGAAGCCACCTGGCTGAGGCGAGTGCACCGGGCCCCGCCAAACTACGTTGGTCTTTTTTGGGGCTGCGTGTTGTTCATTTAGTGTGTATGTGCTAAGTGTTTTTCTTTTCTTTTGTGTTTTATTTGTTTTTTGGGGGGTACCCTTTTTGTATTTGGTTTCAAGGGAAGCCAAAAGGAGAACTGCCATGTTGGGGTACACAGACCAGAGATGAAGCCCTGGAACAAGTGCGTTCGTGGCTAGCGCCAAGCTTTGGACCGTTCTGTTTTGGAGTTCATATTAGCCCCTGAGAACTTAGACCCATGGATCATGTTGGGAACAAGTGACAAGACTTTACAAGCAAACAGCTTGGCTTGATGCATAGATCGATTTGGATTAAGTGATTGACAAGTATGAATCTTTTCGGGCATGAGACAAGGGGATGAACGGAAAGGTTGAGACGTGGTTGATTGTAGTGTTGCGCCGTGATCGTCACATTGCAGGCAACATGCTGGGGTGCCGTTCACTCCAACCCTGGGTCGCGGCATACTGGCCTGAAAATACACGCGCACATTAGCGGCAAACGAATGCTCCCAAGTCTTGGGCAACTCACCGCCAAGGAAGCTGGCGGTTCTGGGCTGGTGCATCGAGTGGCTGCAAGCCTGGCTTTTGGTGGCGGATGACTTCATGGACAGCTCTCAGACGAGAAGGGGCCAGCTGTGTTGGTACAAGAAGGACCGGCCGGTTTGGTTTAACCGTACGTGGATCTGCCAGTTTTACAGCGAGCGATTCCCGCAATCCAGGCGTAGAAGGAGCTTAGCAAGATTCTAGGGGACACTTCCCCATTCTTTCCAGGGATCCTTCTTTCCAGAAAACCATCGGAACCCTCGGGGAAACAGCAGGTTTTTGAAAAGAACGATGGTTGAAAAGAATGGGGAATCAACCCCTAGAATGATGTAGGTAATTTTACTTGGCGATCCCTTATTTGAGGTTTTGGAATTAGAGTAGGGAGGGGGCAAACACAGATCTCACCCATGAACATCCCTCATGAGGTTTTCCTTATTTCAGGTTTGTGGCCTGCAGTATCTAGTGCAGATACCGTGACTCGCATACTCATCCAGCTTGCTTTTTCCTCTTCCCCCCCTCCACCTTGAATGAGTCACAGAGAACGGACCTTGATCCCAGTTTTGACATGCCTGCGTGTGTGGCCTTTTCATAACCAACCATCTTGCCGCTTGAGTTGGTAAAGTTTGAACTTGTTGAGACCATGTATCAGTTTTCCTCTAATTGGTCGTTTGGTTTGGTGGTTTGGACGTTCTTCGGTACCTTCCCCATTTGGCTTCAAACGGTACTGGGCTACCAATCCAAACCACCAGGTAAGGGTAAGCTGAATGTATGTGTGTTTTCCTTGTTTTCTTTTCTTCGGGTTTCTCATGCTTGAACCACTTTGAGGCTGCCCAGCCCCTGAGACAGACCCATGGTATAAAGGCAAAGATGCCAGCCTGGTGCTGGCCAGCCGGCATCCTTGTTTTGCCCTGCAGGAAGGGGTGGAGGAGATTGCCATCAACGATGCCTTCCTCATAGAGATGCTCGCTTCTCGGGCCAATTTCCAGAGGCAAGCTGCATAGCCAACGGGCGAACGTTAGTTCCTTAGGAGAAACCCAGAGATGGTTTGCTGATTTATTTTTTGGGGGTTGATCAAAAGGTCCTTTACATAGGATGACCATGGGGGAAATCCACTGTAAGACGTTGATACTGCCCACATGGGGGAAAAATAAACTTACCCAGGGTCACTTGGGGCCCTAAATGCACCATGGAGCAAACCCCATTTGCTTTGAACCATCCAAAGCCAAGCCCGCCCCAATGCAGAATACTTGCCTCTCAATCAATGGGCCGTGCGCACAGTGCAGGAATCTGACCCCTATCCTCCAAAGAAGCGGGCCTCAAAGCACCGAGGGGCAAGCTCATCGAAAGCTTGATTGGTTGAATATAGCTTGTGTAGCGACCATGAGTACTTACTACTAGTGGAAGGGGGGGACTGCTGAAGGACACCGATTAGCCCCTTCATATTTTGGCGGACAGACGTTACATGCACTCACACTCTCATGAAACCCACCCCTGGAAGCCAAACCTTTGAACACGTCGGAAAGGATTCTTCTATTTCATTACTCAACCCCATTTGATCAATTGGACGGACCCCTGTCCTTTATCCAAGGTGCCCTTGCCAGTTGATACTAGTAGCTTGTACAGCATGTTTCTCCATAACCATGGGATGGAGACGATGGAGAAAAGGAATCTCCAGGCAGAACAGCACCCGAATTAGCCCCGTGTCTAATGAACTCCCCATTTGGGGCGTGTCGTTTGCCCTTTGTTGGTTGAAATTGGTAGGTACTGGAACGAAAACCTAAGGGACACTACTTCCTTTTGTGGGTTACATAGTTTCCAGTTTTTCAGACCTACCGTTTAAGCGGGGGAGATCAACCGCTTCTGAGTCAACCTGAGGTGTACCGTGTGCTGAAGCGCCACTTTTGGACGGAGCCCTACTACGTCGACTTGCTAGATCTGTGCCTTGGCGACAAGACGTCTAAGCGTGTTGATCTGCTCGGTTTCCCAGAACCTCATCTAGGTCCCCCAGTAGTGCCCTTCTACCCATTTTGGGGGGAGGGTTCCCCCACTACAGTAAATTTAACTACAAAAAAAAGGTACTCTTATTCTAACCTCTCTACTGGAGGACCTAGCCATCCTTTCAAGAGCCACAACATGATGGCGGATCAATTGGTTGGAGCCATCTCTGGGTCTATCTCTTTCTTCCATGCCGAGGGGTCTGTCATTTAGGGAGTCCCGATTTTCAATCCGTGATTGTTTAGAATTTGCCCAACAATGTATGGACTTCAGCATAGGCACATTTTCAGGGCCTTTCTTATTCAGGCACCCACATTAAGGCGACCAACATGTTCAGCAAAGCCTAGCTTCAGGCAGTCCACAAAAGACCACCTACTTGTTCAGCCAGAGAGGCCAATCGACTGGTAGATCTAAAGACTGCCAGTGAAACGAACGGGGGTGCCTTTTCTTGGGGGGAACCCTCTTTTGGTTGGTATTAAAGGGAAACCAAAAGGGCAACCACCTCCATTTGGCCGAAGAAAAGACAACCCCAATGTCAACCTAGATGATTCACGAACACCTGGTTGATCAATAGCACGGTATTCCACTTTGGGAGGCCTTCACGTTTGGGGGTTTTACCACTCAGGTCAAATTGAAAGGGATCCTGTGTTATTGTCAGGTGTGTTCTCAAAAGCGCCACAATGTTTGTGTGACTTAGTTGTGTCTTTCCATTTTGCTGGGAGTTGTGCTTGGTTGTCGTTGGCGTGATCTTTGACCCCCTCAGTGCTTGACAATGTTTCTGCCTATATTGTGGCCAGCTTGGGGAGGCACAAGCTCACTACGCTGCAGGTTCTTTGCTCGCAGATCCAATTCCTATTTCAGGTTTTATAATTTTTGTTACCGAATCTTGATGTTCCTCTCTTAAGAGCAAGCAGTTTATTGAACCGCCGGGGTTAGAAGAGCAACCCCAGTAGGCGCCTTGCTGCTGGGCCCCTTTCAATTTTGCGGTGCTTTGCCTGGGGAACTACCCACTTTGTAGCGCACATGGACTCCGTTTGTGGAGAGAGCTATGAACACGAGCACCGCCTCAGGGGGTGACGTACCCAAGTGAAGCTGCACAAGCCATCCTTACGACTGGCGTTATTGGCAACAGCTTTGTTGGTTTTTGGCAAGCGGTCAGTTGAACTATCCCTGTGCAAAATTTTGGTTGGTGTCCATTTTGTTTTTCCCTTGAAACCGCTCCGAAAGAGGTAGCCTCAACCAAAAACATCCAACCGGCGCTATGGCACCCGCACCGCATTGCATGTTTACTTGCTGGCCTCCAAAAGAAGAGCAGAGGTTCCCGCTGGACCCCTGTTCCAGGCGACTCATTTAGCAAGTCTTCAGCTTGCACCAAATGACCATCGCGCATCCTAAAACCCGATTCACGGGTCACCCAAGCGACCGAGGCCAAAGCACATGGCGCTTTAAGCCCATGGCCCATGGCTCCCAACTGGGAGTCTTAGGGGACACCAAATTTTTGTTGGTGTCCATTTTGTTTTCCCTTGAAACCGCTCCGAAAGAGGTAGCCTCAACCATCATCCAACCGTCATGGTCACTCACCTGAGTGACACCAAGAAAAGGCTCCAGCTTCATTTCACTGTTCTTCTTTTTGCCGCGCGAAGCCGCGGGCTTTTGCTCCGTTTCCGAGTCGGAAGCCAGGTTTATGGAGACCACCTTCCAGACGGAGTGCGGCCAGTTGTTGGACCTGCGACTCAGTGGCATCTGCTAAACCTCTTCGAACGGACCCAAAAAGGGGGGAGGGGGGATTTTTTTAGCCCCGCCCCCCCAACTAGTGGCTTTCCCTGTTAGGGGTCCTTTGATACCGTAGAAAAAGAGATAAAGGTTCCCTCAACTACAAGACACACCCATTGAACGGGTCACCCAAGTTAAGGATGTTGGAATTGCTTGTTTGTTTGTGTCAACTGGGGTTGTGCACTGTATTCAACCTCTTTGTTGGTTGGGTGTCAATTGAACATCGGAAGGGGTTTGCACCCGATTTCCTTGTTTTTAGAAGCAGAAACCAACACACGCATGCAAGTCTTTCTCTGCACATGCGCCATGGTCATTGAGGTACTTAGGATGGTCATGCGCCTTGTACTTGTAGGGAGTTTGAACAACCCTGACACAGATGCCCCTTAAAGGCACTACCGCAGCCAAGTTTTAACCACAGCAAACATGGGGACCTTTGCTGAAATGGTTTAGTTTCCTGGTGTGCCTTTCAAAGCCACCAAGGGAGCCCCGTTGGGATAATACTGCTCATGGACCCTTGGATTTTAGGCAAGCCTTGTAAAGGTTTCTATTGAATGAAGCATGATGGTGTGAATGTTGATAGGGACCCTTTGGTGGATATCATTTATGTGGGAATTCATGTCCACCACCGACTTTTGAGGTGGTTCCCTGCTTGAGTTGTCATACCGCATACCTACGTAAGGAGGTTTGACCGATACATGAGACACCCGGCACGTAAGGCAGTGCAAAAACATCGGCCTTGAAGACTTCACCTACAAGCGCTGGGAGCTGATCGTGAAGCGCCTCGCTTGATCGGAGTGGGGGAATCAAGACAAGACATGGACGCACGTCGTTTTAAGGTATGATCCCCCAACAACGGTGGTGTTTTTTTGGTGGCCCTTGAAAACCATCCAAGACTGGGGACCCTGGTACAAAAAAGAGACACACCCACATGATGTTTGCACAAGTGAGCCAGTTTCTATGTCAATGTCTTTCCTGTCAAGACACGACCGCCTCTGTTTTTGGACCTGATTGTGGCAACCCCTTTTTGATCCCCGTGAGCTACCAGACCGCCTTGATTTCGATGGCCTTTCTTGAATCCCCCTAGTTGTTTTTTTTTTTTGTTTAAGTTTTTTTCTCACAGGGATCCCGGTACTGTGGATGGACGAAATCCTGCACCACCTAAAAAATCCTCGGAATGATGATTCCCCCTGTAAATACCAACAAACAATGGTTCCCATTCTTTCTTGGGTGGTGCGAAATCGATTTTGTCCACAGTATGTCAGGTACAAGACGGCGTTGATGGATTTGTCCACAGTCTGTCAGGTACAAGACGGCCTTGATGGCCTGTCTTGGATCCCCTTAGTTTTTTTTTTCAGGGATCCCCCTTGTGTCAGGTACAAGACGGCCTTCTATTCCTTCTACCTCCCGGTGGCTTTGGGCATGGCTGTTGCGGGCATCAAGAATCAATCCGCCTACGACGCAGCGAGGGAGCCCTTGCTGGTGATGGGCGTCTACTTCCAGGCCAGCTGAGAGGGGCCTGGGGCCTGGCGAAAGGTTTGCCCCCGTTTCTTAACTTTGTGTGGGGGTAAAGATTCAAGAAACCATTTGTTTGGTTTTTTAGTGTCTTCCAAGTTTTGCCAAGCATACATTGAAAAACAGCCGTTTTGTTTTTGTGATTTGGTCGAAACACATGGGATGACTCCCAGGTGTAGGATTGAACCATGACCAGGCGCAGGACGATTACCTGGACGCTTTTGCGCCCCCAGAGACCTTGGGCAAGATCGGCACTGACATCCAGGACAACTCTTTGCTTCTACCCTCCCCCAGACTAACATGGAAGCTCCCAGGATTTGTTTGGAAGACTTGGTCCATTTACAGATGCCTTCTGGGAGCTTCCATGTTAGTCTGAGGGAGTGTAACGGTCGGTCCGCATGGGAGCTCTGTGGAGAAGGGGCAGACTTGGCACCATCGGATTGGCTGCAGCTTTTGGCCACCTGCCTGGATTTGTTCTGACCTTGGCAAACACAAGATACGTTGCGTTGCTGGCACATGGAGAGGAGTGAACGGATGCGGTTAGCGGAGAACATTGGTACATGTCCTACTCACGTGCAGCTATTGATACAAGGAGTGAACGTCAATCATGAAGTTGATCTTACCACAGAGCCCCTGAAGGGACCACTAGCTTGGCACCAGAAAAGGACTGATTATAACCCACGGGTTGCAAGGGTTTTTAGTATGGGGGTAATTTCACTTCCCACATGTCCATTCGTGCAAGGTGTCCTATCGGTTTTGTATGGCTATGGGTCAACCAAAATGGTACTCAGAATGGAACCCTGGTGAATGGAATCAAGGACTAAAGCCTGCGGTCCCCTGGTGGTTTAACTTTGACCCATACCCATATGGCTAGCCATATGTTTTTCAGGGTACCAATGGATCTTCATGCCTCGCCACAAACGTTCGCGTGGGCCACTTCCCCAGAGGTCGGATCCGTTTCCTCGCACATGGAAGCTCTTCCAGTGACGTTCTTGAGGAATTTGGGTTCCACGTATGTTTGGGTGTGTCTGTGTTCGAGGGACCCCGCTTTTTGGGTTGGTTGAAAAGGGAAAACCAAAGCAACACCACCATTTTGGGGGGCACCCTATTTTAAGACAGGCCTAGAATAAGCCCTTAGTAAAGCGTTTTAAGGGGTCCATGAAACCCATTTGCGGAGAAGCAATCGAGAGAGACATCACAGCGGACCGAAGGACAAGAAGTGTGGGTGGCTCTTCGTGCAAGCCTATCACGACCTTTGCACGCCTGAGCAGAAGGCCTGAACAAAACATGTGTTCATGAAAGTGACATCCTCAAAATGATGCTCTAAAGGATAAGGGACCACACCTCCTTGACTTGCGCAAAAAATAACATGCAATATATAGCAGTGGTTCCCTTGTTGTTGTGGTGTCCGCTACGGATTTCATTGGAGTCAGATGTGGATTCGGGACCCCCTCTCCATGTTGAACAGCCAGTTTTCCTGACCTCTCAACGCACTCATCTTAGGGTGATATTGGAAGCCAATCATTTGATTTGTCCACTTGTACTTGTACTCGATACATTTGCAATGAAGGATTTATGGCATTCAGTGGAGGAACCGGTTGTTCCCGTGCTTTCACTTCTGAAGGGCATTGTTTGCTGGCATCCAAGCAGTAAACACAAGTAGCACGTGTTTGAAAGATTGGTGCGTACTCTCAATCACCAGCATATGAGTTGCATTCATGTGGTTTGTTTGAACATGACTAGCAGAATGCTGCCTGGGGAATGCTTGGGACGTGTTCTCTTTGCTGGGATGCATTTAAGCAAGCAGGCGCCACAAACTTGGGAGTCAGGCGAACATGCAGATAGGGAGCTGCACCCTTTGAGGCATGCAGAGGCATGCCGCGCCCGGTCGCGTTCAGGCATTCTTGGATGAACACTACGGGAAGTGCAAGGTGCAAACCGAGGAGGAGAAAAAGATCAAAGCCATCTACGAGGAAATCGGCCTGCAAAAGAAGTACGAGGACAGTTGATCTGTATGGGTTAAATTTTTGGCAGTGTTGATTGAGAGGAGAAGCAGGCCGGACTTGAAGATAACTTACCTTCGTTTTTCGGGATGCTTTTGGTTCTAAGTTTGCTTAGCTCCATGGAGGGTTGCAGACACCTCAAATCAGAAGCGAAGGATCCGGGACCAGCAAAAACACATGTTGCTGCGCATGCCATCGTTTGTTTGCTACTTCGTCAAATTGATGAACTTTCAACTTGTGCGTCCAGGAAACTATGTATCGCATTTGTTCAGCATAGGCTTTACAAGGTCAACTTTGCTTGCCACTTAGCTCCTCAAATTAGCATGTGATTGGTCTCCACAGCTCAACGCATGGTGTTCCGCCCTTCCCGTCCTGTTTTGTCACCCTCCATATTAACCCAGTTGCTTTGGCGGGTTTGATTGTTTGACATGATCAAGTGCTGGATTGTTTCGGTACGTGGGAAGCAGTGACCAATCAACTGAAAGATGTGATACTTGCTAGCATACACTGCAGACATACTGTGGATGAACAAATTCCCGCACCAGCCGCAGCCGGTATGGATGAAAAGTACCTACAAACACTGAAACCAATGTCGCTCGCCCGTGAGGACTATGAACAGAAATCCTTCCAGGACATTATGGCATACCAGAGCCAGGTGGTTGAAGCGGGTTTGCCCTGGGAGATCATCGAGATCTTCCTGAAAAAGGTCTACAAGCGATCCAAGTAACTCGGACAAGATCTACAGACCTTTGGGTACCAGGTGTTATTCTGGGTCCCTTGTCAACATGCAGAGAGGTTCTCACACTTGCCTTTGGTGGGGTGGTGTTTCCTTAAACCACAAGTTAGAGGGTTCGTTCGAGGACACCGCTTTAATGGACCCATGCGTTGGGTTTTGCCGGGTGTGCATCGTATGATTTTGGGCGGACGTGCTTTGAGGTGAGCCGTCTGGCTGAGTTTTGACCCTGGGCCACGCCCGGGAGATGCGACCGAGTCCGATTCCACAGTTTTCTTTTCCTCAGGGGGGCCCTAAACTGGCTCTAACAAACAGGTTCCGATTGCTTGCATCCTTGGAACCCATTGGTTGGAACCCAGTTGGGGTCACCCAATTTCCGGGGCCGAAGTGTTGACCTGCACTCAAGACCTTGAGAGTCGATGCGCGCGAAGGGGAAAAGCGGCGACGTTTGGAAGGGGAGACCGCCGGACCCGTGCTGATTAGTGCACTCATTCTCGTGTGACGAGAACAACCGGATGTGCATCTGGTTGTTTATGATTGCTGCTGGAAGAATGACATCACGGTCTGAAACCTTTGCGTTGCAGTGGGGTTGAAAGCATCGATCAGCGAATGCAGCAGCTCACGATTCCCCAAGCTCGTTGTTTGATAGATCTGGACTACGATCAACAGCCTCGATACACCGCTGGTAGAGTGCAATTTGCATCAAGTGTCAGTCTGCCACCTTCAGACCAAGTTTGGCATATTTGAAAGAGGCACCCTACAGTGTAGGGGGCTCTTTTGAGGAAAGCCATGGCTCATCGCAGACTCGGCGAGGTTAACATACGTTTCTGTTTCGGGTCGCTGAAGTCAGAGAGGAACAATAGTGGGAGTTGCCATTACTTATCACCCATGTTGCCCCTGTAGCTTCAAAGTGGTGTCCACCCTTGCATTGTGCTGAGCTGCAGCCAATTCACGTGACCCAAGGCTTTGACCTTTCGGACTGCGCTATGCCTCCCCCCCCACCCACCCACCAGTGGGCGAACATATGGCCATGGTTCAAAACCAATGGTACCATTTTGGGATAGGTGCACCACCATTTAGGACCTATTTTAGTGGGGATTGGGATGTTCACTGGGGGTACGGGGTTTTGACCCATGGCCATATGGGCAACCTATGTATCTTGTTTAAGAGAGTGATTCATCATGAGTCACATTGTTGCTGGCTCGGACACGGATCTGATCAGCGCTTATACCCTCCCTCCCGTATGCCACCTGACTAGAGGCCTCTGAGGATTCCATTTCAATACGGGTTTGTGTCAATTTTTTTGGGATCGAACAATTGGTTTTCCTTTGATTTGCATTTAAACCTACCTGAAAAACAGCACCCTCAAAACCAATTGGGGCTGTGCAATGTCTGTTGGCGAAGGCGCACTAGGCCTCGTCATTGCAGGCACCTTTGCCACCACCGTCTCCGGAAATGACAACGAAGAGAGCTTTGAAAGCTCCGCCCTCGGCTTCTGCTTCCGGTTCTGATTTGCTACCGTGGTATCGCAACTAAACAAAGCCCCGACTCCGATTGTTTTTTTGTTTAAGGGCATCATGTAAACAGATTATTAAAATCCGGTGGTATTTACTATGGCCACCATATTCTGAAAACATACCCTAGAAAAGAGGGGAAGCACGTCAATTCTCAAGCTGAAGAACCTTTCAGCCACGGGCATCTAGGAATCGACTTCCAAATGCCCTCCACGCAAATGTGAGGATTGCCTTCACTTTCATGACGCATTCCAATTGATTGGCTTTCAGTCTTGTGCGTTTTCGGTCATGCACTTGTTTGAAGGTCCTCTTTACATGTTTCCTCTACAAACCCTTGAATGAGTGGCACTGGTTTGTAAACGGATAATTAGTTGCTTGGTGTCCTGAGTTGTCCCAGGGCCGAATTTGGATACGTGTCAAAAAAGTGGGGGCCTGAAACATGGTTTCCCGTTGGTGGTCCCTTCCAACAAAGCAACAACCAGAACCCTCAACAAACACGAGCGTTTGCTTCTTGGCAGTGTCACCCAATCTGCCCCTGACGTGTAAAGACATCAATGCCGATGCAAAGTTGGGCTCAACCCTCTTGGGTTGTGGCTCAAGGTGGATCCTTAAACTAGTTACTTCATTGGAGACGTATGTTTATGGGTGTCTTGTTTTGAGGGGGTGGATGTACAGGCTTGCTATGCGCAGGCCGCGCTTTTCACTCCTGTCCTTGATCAAAAGGGGCTCCGGTCACCCCATGTTTGCTACCTCAACAGGCTTCCCCTCGCTACTCGTAGCGACCAGCCCCGTGGGATTATTTACCCACCTGTTCTAAAACCACCGCAAAAAGTTTTTACATCCGCGAAGACCCGCTCAAGCCCCTCGCCTGTTCACCGCCTGCATCATCTCCCAATACCTCTGCCTCATCTGCTCTTGAGTCCAACCACGTCCGCGATTGTCATGCTGAAACTGGTTCCACCTTGAACTACAGCTTCGTCTCAGTCTCCTCGTCATTCGAGCCCGCACCACCTGGCTTGGCCTTGTCTCTTCCGCGATTCCCGAAATGGTCCTCCCTTCCAACCACGTCGCCCGGCCAGATGCTGCATCAATTTCCTCTCTCCATGTCCGCGCCGTCAAATCCATGCCACTACTCCCCGGTGCGGAGTGCTGCTCATTCTCACCCGAGCTCTCGCAGTCCTCCTCCCATTCAACCGCATCTCCATCACCACCTCCACGCCCGGGTCGTCCTTCTTCACCTTCAGTTCTAGAGACAACGAATCTTTCTTCTGCTCAAGCCCCTCACACCTGATCCACCTCCGTCCCCATTGGTCGTAGACGATCTTGGCCTCCTTCTTCTGCACCTTGACCAACGGAATCTCTCCGATCCGGTCCGTTGATGCAGCAACTCTCATCAGCCTTTTCACACACCCAGCCGTCCCCTTGGCTGTCTCCTTCACGACGACCAGCGCTCCGATCACCATGAGAATCATCCCCACCAAGAAGATGCCATCCTCAACCTTCATGACCTGGTCATCTATTACCTCCATGATTTCCGAATTGGTGCCATCAGCTCCAGCCATAAGGCTGGCTCCCAATGCCAAAAAACGAAGGCAGCCCGCTGGGCAGTGGTGATTCGAAATAGCTGCGGTTCCCGGGCCTTCACATGAATGGGGGTTTCCCAATGGGCGGTTCATCATCCCTGCCCCACTTTTGAATCTTTCTTGCCTTCTCGGCTCCTTCATCCGGCCCATCTACAGTCGGTTCATTTTTCCCTGGCGATCCTTTCTTTCTTTTTGGCCCAGTGGCTCTTATTCTTGGCCCACTGGCCATCTTCAACCATACCTAACTCTACCAAGAATTTCCCGAAGGCCTGTCCTCGCAGCATCTTCCTCAAGCCGTGCGCGACCAGCTCCGTTCGCGGCATGTGCTCCAACACCCACGAAGCGCTCCTCCAAGGCCCAACGAAGAGCTGACGCTCGGATTCGGAGACGTCTCCCAACACACCGGAGCTCCATCCACAAAGCGCACAAAGCCGATGATCCCTTGCACACTTTTGTCTTGACCCTCCGAGGCATAGGAGATGTCAGCAAAGACCTCCACCATGTGTTGCTGTCTTCTCATTCCCAGTCCCTGCTTGGATGGGCGGCTCCAAAGTTCACGCCTCTGTCCGCTGTGGCCTTCACATACTTAAGCACGTCCTTCCCCATCTTTACCACTTGCCATCCGCCTTTCTTAGTCCACCTTGACATAGCCGCCGCCACCGTAATATCTGGCCTCGTCTTCTTTTTCCGCGAACCACAGCAGCGCTCCCGTTATGGCTTGCGCCCCCTTCACCTCCGGAGTGCCATCTTCGCTTTCTTCATCCGGCAGCTTGTAGGTTACTGTTGCTGTGCTTTCCTTAATTCCCCACTTGGCTGTGAGATCCTCTGCGAAAGCCTTCTGATTGATAAGATAGCTATCCTTCTTGTAGATCTCAAACCCGCAGAACCGTAGCGGTAATTACTTCACTCGTAGCTTGTTCTGCAGGTGATAGCATCCAATTTCTTCCATCCATCCTGGCTCTCGCTGAGTTAATCACCTCATCCTCACCCGCCAACAGCACATCATCCACATAGATCGACATGAGACCCACAGTGGGCCCCGTCTCAACCTCTACGATGTGCCAGAGGTTCGGCTCCTTGGTTTTCGCAAACCTGAGCTTCTTTCCTCCACCATCCCATTCCATTTTTCTCACCTCTCCATCCCGATGTACACTCCAGTCCCTTTGGCGAAGTGACCAGACCGTACACGGCCTTGTCAACCACCCATACCTCATCTCTCTTGGCGATGCCCAGCTCCTTGAAGATAGACGGTACCTCTATGATGACTGTCTGCCCATCGTCCCTCCTTGGCGCGTTTAAAAACGCGGTATGGATGTCTATGCCCAGCAAGGACCACCCCCTCTGAGCTGCTGTTCTGAGAACCATTCTGATTTGAAGTGCGTCCGCTCCTCCAGCATACACCTCATCAGCACTCTTTCCGGCCCAGAAGTTCTCGCAGACCACTCCTCTGACCTTCCTCCTTCCATCTGGCGACCTCCTGGTACATACAGCCTTGCCTGGCAGGATTTCCACTGGACCAGTGATGCTCTCGATTTCGCTCCTCATTGGTCTCACTGAATTGATTTTTTTCGCCAGTGCCATGTACTCCTTTGCCGCCTCTCTCCAGTTCTCTAGCTCTCCTCTCACTTCTCCCATGCCGATCGCCTTCGTCACAGGCCATTCTTCCTCGGCCTTCACTGCCTCATTGACCTGCATGCCATTCGGGCGGCTCCTATATGTCCCCTTCGCTGGAGTCCTTCCCAAAGAACTCCGAACCAAAGTTCCTGATCCTCTTGACTAGCGTCCAGGATCTCCAGCTCTTCCTTGACCCACGGTTATAGGGTCAAAAAGTTCCACTTGCGCCAGGGGGTGGTACGGGACAAGGGTAGGTTTGGCGTTGTGCAAAGGCCCATTGGCACGGAGGAAGGTGTGCTTGCCAAGGCGCATGCGTTTCGTACCCCAAGGACAAGCTGCCGTTTTCGGGCAAACAGTATCAGAAACGCTCCGCCATGACGCTTAAACACACACACAAACAGATTGGACAATGCAGCAAACAGCAGCCAATTCCGGTAAACGCGAAGCAACTCGACCAATGTTGTTTTGCGCTGTACCAATCGTATGATTGCACCGTGCCGGTACCCGTGCACTGTCTTGTTGTACCCTTGCGCGGTACCAGTCGTACCCTTGTACCGTACCAGTCGTACCCTTGTAGTACCGTACCAGTTGTACCCTTGTACCGTACCAGTCGTACCCTTGTACCCTACCAGTTGTACCCTTGTACCGTACCAGTCGTACCCTTGTACCCTACCAGTCGTACGCTTGCACCGTACCACCAAAATTGATCATCGTCCCAGTGTTTGCAAGGGCCTCCAGAGCATGACTCTTAAATTTAGCTAAGCTGAAACGCATTTTCTCTAAGATTCCAGGCTTCAACCATTTGAAGAAGCACAACACACATGAGCAAGGGACCAAATTGCTGTGGCACCAATGTTGAATCTCCCCAATCTACTTTTGCGATCTAGTGTGTGTGTGTGTGTGAGTGTGTGTGTGTGTGTGTGTGTGGGTGTGCGTGTGCGTGTGCGTGTGCCTGTGCCTGTGCCTGTGCCTGTGCCTGTGCCTGTGCCTGTGCCTGTGCCTGTGCCTGTGCCTGTGCCTGTGCCTGTGCCTGTGCCTGTGCCTGTGCCTGTGCGTGTGGGTGTGTGTGGGTGTTTTTGTTGGGCCCCTATTGGCTTCGTACCCTCGCAAGAACACATGCCAGTGCACACACACGTTTTGGCAGATTACTTTCTTTTGGGCACTCTTCTCACGCTGGCTTTTAGGGACATCACAAGGAACAGCATCGCCTGTAGGGAAACACATTCCGATTTTGACACATACCCATGTTTGCGGACGGGAGAGTACATTTCTTGGGCATTCAGTTGTTGGCCTCCGCGCCGGTTTCTTAGCTCGCTGAGTTGACAGCAACTCAGAGGAGGAAGGTGCAGGCGCTGGGCTGTCGAATCGTCATGGGGTCGATTTAAGGTTCCATGTGTTTCGGGCGTGTATCCACTAGTTGGCCACCTTTTTTGGGGGGGAATGAGAACCAACCCCCCAATGGCTGTCGAACGGCCCGCTGAATAGCCTGTGGGAGACTTATGGGAAACTTGTGGCAGCGACCCAACGTGGATTCCCATGGCTGTATCTGTTGAATGCCATCAGGTCGCCAAAATTGTAGGTTTCATCCCTTATGGATTTCGGGCCTTCACAAGCTGATTTCGTAGGCGTTGCCAGCGTGTTTGGATCTTTGTGTTGATCCTTTGCTTCAGAAGATTGGTGTGTCTTTGTTTTGTAGGGTACCCCCTTTGTTTGGCGGTGTTCAATGAGGAGAAACCCCCACCCAGGTTGAGGGGTCCGACCTTAAAGACGAGCCACCCATGTGGTTCCGAGTTAGTTTGCTGGTGGTGCATGCTGACCTCACCTCGAAGCTCCGACACTTGAGACGGACCGCAGCGAAGTGTCCGACGTGGGATCTTCCTCCAAAGTGAACCTCACATGCACTGACTCACTCACCCCAAAACGAGGCAATCGGTTGAATTGGAAAAAAATGAGCAGTTATTGCAGACAAGTTGTGTCATGTCAATGGAAACGCTTTCGAATGCTCGGTTGTCTTGTGCAAGAGATGACTGTTGGAACTGCCAACATAGGAAATAGCAAAAGTGTATGAGGTAGTGGTTGGGACTATCTCAACAACCCCAGCGACAGGGACTACCCCCATACCTTCAATACTGATTCTTGTTGAGGGCCGATGCAAGTTAATGGAGAATTGTCGTTGTGAATCCAAATGGATATAGTGAATCTGATTGTTTCTTAAACTGCCAAGTGCATTTGTTTGGTGGGCTGCAGTGGTATCTGGAAGTCACTCCAATTGAACATAGTTGAATACTATACATGAACTTTTGAGTAGTGAGTATGTAGTTGCAACTAGAGTTTGTCTAGTGAATATAATCTAGTCAATATAGCGAGTATGTTTTTGCCAAGCGCAATTCCACCGAGCAAGAAGGCAACAAGACAGCCGCACACAAGCTCCTTTCAGCCGCTGCACGGGTGGTGCAAACTAGCACACTTTGCCGGGGGAAAGCGGCCAGTCTTTGTTTTTGCGGGTTTTTACTAAAACCCAATTGGGCCACAATCAAAACCCGGGTTAGTAAGGGACGATCGCCAGAAATAGCTGCGGATATCCGCCTTCTTAATCCTGTACGTGGTTCTGGGGTCACCATTTTTGTACCAGGTTTTGATTGCGACTCAACTGGGCTGTAAAAAATCGCGGCGAGCTAAAGTTCCAGGCCTTCAAAATCGCGCATCCTGATGCACTGCTGGACTCGTGACCACTTCAGAAACCTCTCGCGGCAAGCCTGCGGGCCACGGCCCTGGGCTTGAGAACTGATGCCAACATACTGCCAGAAGCGGAAGAGTGCTGAAGAGGAGGGTGGATCATTCCAGCAAGACCACCAATACCAGTAGTGACCTTTTATATACCTGTTTTTTTGTGGGAGGGTTCCCCTACAAAAATAGACTACAGGAAAAAGGGTACCCTTATTCTAACCTCTCTACTGCAAGACCTAGATCATGATTGGCAATCATCATAGTTAAGCAAAAAGCCATTGGTGATGTAAAGTTGTCCACGATTCAGATGCAGCGAGGATCAAGGACAGTTAGAAGTGAATCAGCCCTGGAAGGATCATGAAAAACAACATATACCAAATATGTGTTTTCTAGTGAATTCCAATATACCGAATCGTGTGTTCCGGCTGAGCATCGTGGTTTTTTGCCTGTGAAGGCTGGGTCGCCGAATCTGCCAACTCGCCAGGTGAGGCAGAAGCTGCCGCCACCTTCGGCACCAAGCGGCCTGGGATGCCCAGAGCGAGTCACGCCGGCTGTGACTCGTTTGGCCGTGGTTCAAAACCAATGGGATCCCCACCCATGTTAGAACCTATTTTAGTTGGGGATTGGGATGTTCACTGGGGGTACGGGGTGTTGACCCATGGCCATTTGCTTGGTTTTTTAAAACTCACTCCTGTTGTTTTTTGGCCCCAGCGATAGTAAAGCCCTATCTGAAAAGTGCCGACCAAGCCATGTTTCAGATGAGAGCCACAGGTGTGGCTCACAACATGGTACCCAAAATTTGGCACCTTGGGCAATAAAACATGCGCGACCTCAACTTGAGCCACACCCTACTGTGGATAGACAGAATCTGCACCACTTTTGAGACCATGGGAAACCATTTTTGCGAGTATGTACAGGTGAATCATTTTTTCAGAGTTTCTTTGGTGGTGCGGGATTTTGTCCATCCACAGTATTATTTCCTGGGGTTGCTAACAAGTTAGACAGGTTTCAACATGTTGGTGACCTCCGAGGCTTCCGGCGGGAGTTGGTCCAGACCTCGCGGGTGTTGCTTCCTTTTGTCCTAAGAGCCGGATAGGTCCTTATTTTCCTGTGTGCACTGGGAGGTGTGCTCAGGGGCTGGTTTCGGATTTTTCCAGGCTCACTTGCGAATGGTGAATGGGGCGGCCTTGGAATTGGGCGATTTGGGTCAGAGAGCAGGCTTTTTCGAGAGGGGGGCGACCAGTTTTCTGGGAATCGCTTTGAGGGACTGGGTTTTGGTAGGTCGAGCCATTAAAAATGAAACTTGTTGGCTTGTAGCTTTTTCAATCACGCGTTAGTGATTTCTTTTTGGGACAAGGTGAAGGCACAATGTGTGCTAGAGCCAAGATCCGTCGCATTGGAGAAATGATTGAACAAGTTGTATGATCAGATCAGTGGTGACGCTGCACATGCCCAGCAGCAGCTAAATTGATTCATGGCAATGTTCCGCAGAGCATCATGTATGTTTAACGGATTTAACGGATTGATCTCGTCATGAACTCACATGTGTTGCTTTCGGTCTGCCCAATTGTGGGTTTACCAGGGAAGGGCGCAGGCAGGATAAAAGAAATCGTTGGTTTTTTCACACATTCAAGGCAGCCCTGCTGTTGACATAGTGCAACTGGTGTCATAAGTGTATGCCCTCACAGCCTATGCCAACACAAGCCCACTACGGCCATCCAAGCCCCTTGAGCAGCGGGAAGTCGGTCCATCATGGTCCATCTGAGTGCGGGAGCCGCTTGATGGCTCAAGCTGATGGCATTTCTCACAAGAGCCCCTTGGCACGAATACGTAGCACCCCCTTCTGTTTGGTTGAGCCCCGCACCCTTTTTAAGCCCGAGCGTGTCAACGATTGTGATTGAAACATGTGCAAGCTGCAAGACTCTGGCGGCATCTTTCACTCCAGTTTCATCCTGGGCATCCCCAGACATCGGGACGGAACCGTGACTGTCTTTTGCTGTCGCCGACCGCGCCGGTCAAGCTGATGTCCGACGCACAGGCGCACAGTAAGCATGGAACCAACGCTTGTGTCCACTTACTGTAAGCCCAGCTTGCCATTGTTTTTCCGGTTTTCGACTGGTTTTCTCTTTGACATCAACGACCAAAACGGAAGTGCCCCTTTTGCCTATGGCCACTCTGGGCTTTGCAAGCATTCATCTAGCGAGGTTCTGGAGACGGAAACAAAGAAAGACAGAGCATCGTGGGTCCCTTTTAGGTTTCCCTTTAGACCCAACCTTCGAAAAGATAGACACATCCTCACATCCATGTGTCTAATTACCATTGAAGATATTCTTTGGACTTTGTTTTGTAGGGCGCAACCACTGCATTCCGTGGCTAGGCAAAACATTGAAGGAGAGACAACTTCAGATATATATTTTTATCATGCCCCGCGAAGTTTGCAGGAATGAAACCTACCTTGAGCTTAGAAGGAAGCTTTGAGACCCACTGCGGCCATTGTGCCTTAGGCTGCAACCCAGGCAAGCTAACATCTAACCCGGGCGCGGGGCTGGAGAGGGGCGACCAGCAACCCTAATCCAGGTATCCAGATTGGGATAGGTCTATCCCTCAATCGAGTTCCCAGGCCCCCTGGTGGGGATGGGGCACAAATCTGTGTCAATGATGACCACCAAGGGTCTCCAATTGAGATTGCTCGCAGAAACCCGGAGACAGGATTAGTTTAGCTGTGACCTTTTTGAGTAGCTCGTGCTATTGACTAGGCTAACAGAGTTGGACTGCCGTCAAGCAGGTATTTGTTGAGCCTTTTGCTTGACTTCCCGGCCAACGGTCAAACGGCACACCTGTGATCTTCAGCCGGATCAGAGCATCGGGTCTCGGGTCCCTGTACGTCTGGGGCTTCTGAGCATTCCAGCCACTGCGGCGCTCCCTTCTCGCGTGGGACTATGCCGGCAGACACGCTTCCTCAAGGCAAATACATTTGTAGCACCCTGTCTCAAGGGGGCGATGTGCATGCTGTTTTTTTTTGGGGGGGTTGAGATGCACTTCAATAAGGCAGAGTGAGACCATTTTCACCACCCCTGAGAAAGGAACTTTGCCCTGATATGCAGGTATCATGTATTGATTCAAGCCTCACCCAAAGGGCAGATGTTTGAAGAGTGGGATTTGGAACCACTTCTCCTGGCTGAAGTCGCTTTATGAAACGAATTGGGCATCCCTTGCGAAGGGCGCGTCCCTTGTGCCCGAGAAGGCTCAGGTTCTCTGGAGTCCTTGAGGGACACCACCACCCATTTGAGTCACAACCAAAGCCCGGGTAGATGATCCGGTAAGGGACGATCCCGACCAACAGCTGCGGAGATCCGCCTTGTTAATCCTTCACATGGTTCTGTGTTCACCATGATTGTAACGGGTTTTGAGTATGCCTCATTTGGGTGATTTTGAGCATCGCCTGAGTTGGGACGATGTCAAGCTCCACGTGTTTTCCACAGGGACATTTGGGAGCCCTCTCGGCATGCGTCCAATATTATCACCGGAAACCGATACAGGCCCCACCCAACCCGATGCCCTTGGAGGTCCGGGTATGTTGTTGGCCACTTGGCTATGGGTCAAAAACCAATGGTACCATTTTGGGGTAGGTGCGCCACCTATTTTAGAACCTATTTTAGTGGGGATTGGGATGTTCACTGGGGGTACGATTTAGACTTTGACCCATGGCCACTTGGGTTTGAACCATTTAGCAGGGTTGACCCCACATTTACATTAAACAGAAGTCAGTGGGTAACCTGTATCTCTAAGGGTAGCTTCCCCATTCTTTCCAGGGATCCTTCTTTCTAGAAAACCACCAACACCCCTGGGAAAACAGCTGGTTTTTGAAAAGAACGATGGTTGAACAGAATGGACTCGGAATGAACCCCTAGAAAAATGGGGGACCCCGAAAATGGTGGCGTTCCCTTTTGCTTTCCCTTTACCAACCTCCCAAAAAATGGCAATCTAGACTTACGAACCACGTAGAGTATCCACATACCCTCCTAACCCCGAAAACCCTTCCTTACCCTTGAAACAGAAGACTCCCAACCCCGGTAGAGTATCAAAACTTCCTAACTGGGCAACAGACACCCGGCTCCCGTTGCCAGGCTGCGTGCAACGCGTTGCTCTCCAAGATCTCTCGCGGAGAGGACTTGTGACTGAGCCGAGTGGCCATACCCAATACCCACTGTTGTTAGACCATGACCAGAGGAAAACATCAATAAACAAACAAATCAATATAAATGATAAATAATGTATTGAATAAATAAACAAATATATTATTATATATATATGTGCCATGAAAAACCTGTTTGTTCAAAAGTATTGGAGTAGAAGATAGACATGTTTTGGCAGTCTTTCAAGGATGCGCAAATGAGCATGGGAGGAGGGCCATTTGACCGCAAACCAACAAGCCATTTAAGCTTCCCCAGCACCAGCAACTTATCATGTGTCAAAAAGCGCTTCGCTGCGACAAGCCATCTCCTCGCAAAAAGCTACTGAGGGTTGAGCTTTCGTTCCAAACCTTTTGGTGTCAGGATGGTCGTGGATTGAATCCTGTGGCCCGCGACACAGCTGGGTGCGTCTTTTTGGGGTGATTCTGAAGGGAAATCAAGGGGAATGACACGGACACAAGGGAAACCATTCTGGGGTCTTCTACAAGACACACCCAAGCATTAAATGACGCGGACTCCGGTAGAAGCGGTGGCATTCCGCAGGTTTGATGCCGCTAGCTGCTAGCACGCCCAAGAGATAGTCCCCAGCTAAGCAGTTGGGATCCTCGTCGAATGCGGGGTCATCCATGTGATTGACCTTCCAGGTAGCCTCCCACAGTTGCTACTGTGGATGGACGAAATCCTGCACCACCTAAAAAACCCTGGACTGATGATTGTCATGTAAATACCAACGAACAATGGTTTCCCATGGTTTCATACTGGTGCAGGATTTCGTCTATCCACAGTAACTACTCAGTAGGGAGGGTAAGACTTTTGCTTGTAGAGTAAGCAAGGGTCCGGACCCGAGTCATTGCGCGCAATGGCACGTAGGATGCCGTGGACGATGCGAAGAAGTTTCTGAGCTTTGGCTGCGACGTGCCGGATGGACGCGCTCTTAGGAGCTCAGTGAAGAAATCACGGAGCGGCTAAGAAAGTTTCCACGACCCCGAAGCCACTATCCCAAGGAAAGATAGGGTACACCACCACAGTATAGCCAGATATAGAGGGTTGGCCCTTGCAAATTGCTCATGTCCCTCCCCCTTTGGTGCCGTTGTGTGAGCTATGGTATGTTATGGCATGATTGACAAGAGCCGGCTGGCCAGAAAACCAAACAATCACGTGCGTGGACCCCGAAGAAACCTGCAAAAGGATCAGCCAGCGGTAAAGAGCCAAGCGTGATTTTGAGAAGAGTCAAGCGTTCTTCTTATGTAGAGCACGGTTTCTTGAATGCCGAGTTTGTTGATGTCAGCTATCTTGCAGGGTGTTTCCGCTTGCACCTAGGCTTGGTCGTTGCTGCCCTTGGCCAGAGGACTGGCATATGGGACTTGGGACTTGGAAGGGTTTGGGGCCGAACGAACTTGGGCCGATGAGATGCTGATGGGTTCAATCGGCTTGGACTCTTCAAAATGATTCAGTATCTTGGTAACCGGGGTCAAACTTGGCAAGTGCCCGGCAATGATCTAGCGTGTGCTTTAGCAATCGCTCCTTTGTGGATATCATCACCTACTGTACTTGGGCTGTTCGTTATCAAGATGGTTGCTCCACAGACAAAGCACGGCCAAACATCACGGCCAAACATCACAGGACCACTTGACTGTGGCTGTACCTTTTCAGATGGATGGTTGACCATGTTTGACTGTAGTTGTATACAGATTGAAGTTAGTTTCATTATTCGCATGGAGTTACTGCCAAGAGGCTAAATGTCCTCACAGCCATCCCCATGTATAGAAATGTACAGGTAGCTCCCGATCTATGCTGCATTTTCATAATGTAGGCACCACAACTTGGATCCTAAGACTATTTTGGCCTCCAATTCAGTTGCAGGCATGAATGCCAAACTTGTCAAGCAAGGTGTTTTTTGCCAAAGGTTGCAGGGCACCATTTAGAGGTGTCTTTCCCCTAAACTTGGTGCAATTTGCTTGATGAGGAACTGCCCCGTGCTGTGTGGATGTTCTTGGCCGCTCTGCCACGCCAGGGCCCGGAATGTGCCATCGTGCCCAAACGTCCTGCGCTTGATGCTGGAGAAGAAAGCGAACCCCAACGCTGCCCCTCGGACGTATCGAGAGAGTTCATGTTCTTTGGCCATCAGAAGGAATCCACATGAATCCACTGAAGGCAAAGGTCATCTTAGCTGCCTACCCTACTTCGAACTCCCCTCCTTTGGCTGTCTTTGGTTGAACAGGCAAACCAAAAGGAACTTCCTTCTCTCGGATTTGCGTCCGTTGAGACGCGCCCGGGGTCACACCCGTACCGGGGGAGCTGCTTTAGAACCAATGGCTGTGGCATCGGGAGCCGATGCAATGACTGATTGGTCTAAGGCGAATCGATTGACAATTTGACCTTGTGGTTTTCCAGTTCGGGTTTCTTTCTGGTCCATGGTCCAAATTGGTAAGACAGTCATTTTGAGATCCTTTGGACAAGTGAGATTACTCCCCTCACAGTCTGCTCAAGATTGCAACAATTGATCAAATGCTGGTTGGTGGAGATTTTGCAATTGGATGTTTGTTTGTTTTCCTTCGCATAGCCAACGTGCGGAGATACCCAATACACCCAGTGCCTGATGAACAAGCTGTGCTTTCTTTGGCGATGCTGATGAGTGTTAGTATTGCCGGCCAGTTGGCAAAAGGCTTGAAGTGCGTGATGGGTTTGAATGTTCAGGGTGCCAGAGCGCTGGCTAATGTTTGGCGGCTTTCGCCGGAAGTCGTGGATTGATTGACAGGTCTACTGGAGAACGAAGTGCCCATGTTGGGAAGTACTTCCCAAGTGGCCACTACGGGTGAAATGCTTAATGAGGCATGCTGATGCACAAACTAAGACCTGGCTAGTTTTGTTGATCAACATTTGCAATCATTTCGGCACGCAGCATTGCCCGCATACGGATTTGTATTAAGAACCATGACAACATGCCCAACATCTGAGTGTTTTCACCACGCGTGTGGTTCTGAACGAAACCTTCAGATCAAAGTGTGCCTGGTGACTTGGCCTTTTTTCCAAAAGAAAACCTAAAGGGGAGGGAGAAGTATCCTTTTTTCAGACCCCCTCTTTGGACCCCAGACAACCCTGCGGTTAGTTATTTATATTTTATCTACATGTAAGGCTTCAGAAAATTATCCCCGTGCTCTTGGCAAATGGCACCACCAAGGTCGACCCGCTCACTCAAGGACTGCCAAGATCATCTCTTTGCTGATTTGTCAATAGGGCTTGGCAACGTCTCAGCTGCTTGAACCCGCAACACTCGCAACATGGCTGTGCCGACCAACTTCATCAATGAACGTCCCTTGGTTCCTTGATGTTATTTTCTACACGGGACGTAGTGTTCAATTTGTGTCCATAAGTCGTATGAACTTATGACGATTAGTACCTTGACTTCTGGAACCCAGATGCCTGGCTCGAAGCCAAGGTACCAACTGAGAGCAAAAAGCTGTGATTGTTTGCTGGCAAGTGTTGGCAGTGTGTCGGACGTGTTTCTGAGTTTGTATCCTTTGTGGGCTGGTTTCAAAAGGAATGTGACGTGTAAACCGCGGCAAACGAAGTACGCGGTGGTTCGCCGTCCGAAGACCAACAATACGTGATGAGGGCATTTATGAGACCGCATCATTCATTGCCTGCCGGATACAATTCATGTCCGTCCGACCTACGTTGCACAAATCTACACTACTTGCATGCTCAGTATGGCCCCCGGGGCCCAAGATGTTTGGCGGGATCAGCCTCAAACGCAATATCCTCCCCTGGGATGCTGCAGACCTGCAATCCACTTGTTTGTGGGGTTTGCGTCCGCTTCCTGTGATCCCAAAGAAGATCCCCTTTCAGTGATGAGACAGTTTGGTAATTACTGTGGATGGACGAAACCCTGCACCACCTAAGAAACCCTGGAATCAAAATCCCCCTGTAAATTCCATCACCCAACGGTTTCAACCATGGTTTATTGCGCAACCATCCACAGTATCACAGAAGGGTCAACTTATTTTTACACAAGCTGAGCCCTGCAGCCCAGCCATCCGACACCCAGTTCTTCAGCATCGTTTTTCTGCTGTTTGGTGGGGGTGCCCACTGAACATGGACCAAATCAACCCCCCAAAATAATTGGCTGGGTGTGAGAATCGGATTTCGACCCTCAAGATGGTGGTTTTCCTTTTGGTTTCCCTTTAAGCCAACCGTAAAAGGGGTAGTCTCAAAAAGCCGTGCTTCCGGGGGTTGCTTTGGGAGGACCGGCGATCCACAGCGCCTGCTGGCACGGCTCGGTGGATGTGGTAAAGATGCTGCTGGACTTTAAGGCTGACCTGGAGGCCCGGGCGAAAATGGGCGGGACCTGGGGCCTGTAATGTGTTTCTTTTTGTTTAGAAAGCTGTACCACACAAATTTCCATTATGTCATGGGAAAACTGTAAGGTCCTGTTGCTTCTTTTCTTTTTTGAAAGTCTAGGTTTTCCAGCTAGGTGCCCTTTCTCACCCCTTTTTTGGGGGGAGGGTTCCCCTACTAAAATTGCCGACAGAAGAAAGGGTACCCTTATTCTGGCCTCTCTACTGGAGGATCTACAAGTTGTACCACAGAACTGAATCAAAGTCAAGGGAAATGATGATAGCAATACTTCAGCCACTTGTAATACCTTTGATATAGCTTTTGAGGATCGCAGAAAGCATTCTCAGCCCTGGCTTGTTTTTGTCAATGCTCATTAGTGATCACATCCATGCAGCGAAGGGCATGTTTTTACCGTGGCTCAATCTCAGGAGGCATCAAAGCTTGAACCATCCCTTTTCGAACTCACTGCACCATTCCTGCAAGATGCCAGGCGATTCCTGCCTTTCCTGCCGAAGCAAAGGCTTTTCTATGGGGTTCTGTCAGGTAAGGCTAGGAGTGCAGACAGAGATGGATCCATAGATGTCCTTTTGGGTCAGTATGGATGAATTCTTTTAGTTTCGGCCTCACATCTATTGCGCAAAAGGCATCCTAGCACCCAAAGCCCCACATGAATCTCAACAAGGAAGGCTAATAGGGCATAGCGCAAAGGTCTAGGGGATGTCCCTTGCACCATCAAGCCACCCGCAAAACACCCATACATGTTTTCCCCTTGCGTCGCACCCCAAAAAAGGCAGTCGTTTGCAGGCGAAGGAGCCCAAGATGGAGACTCCGCCGCTGAACACGGCCCTGGCTGCGCCTCGATGTGTGTTGTCGGCGCATGTGGGGTGTTCCTTTTTTGGTTTCCCCTTAACGCAACCTTAAAAAAGAAGAGGGTCAAAGAAAGCAATAAAGAAACCCACACACACACAGACGCACACACCCACACACGAAAGCACACACACACACACACACACGCACGCAAACAGCATAAACGCAAACGCACACGCGCACGCGCACGCTCACGCACACGCACACGCACACCCACACACACACAGACACACACACACACACACACACACCCACCCACCCACCCACGCACGCACGCACGCACCCACCCACCCACCCACGCACGCACGCACGCACGCACGCATGCACGCACGCACTTACGCACGCACGCACACGCGCACGCGCACGCGCACGCGCACGCACACGCACACGTACACGCACACGCACACGCACACGCACACACACACACACACACCCAATACACAATAATTGCTCATTTGTTTTTTGCGTTGTGTTTTTTCTGGTCGAAAGGAGATCAACAGGAGGTTTGTATGTTTGGTATGTTTGTTCCGATTTGACACCTTGAGGAGCCTTCCATCTGATTGGGCAGCTCGGTGCGTTTGAGGCTGGCAATGCCCCAGTCTGCCTGGAACTGCTGAACCGAAATGCAGACGCCCGTGCGCCTAGATGTCTGTGTGTCTTTCTGTCGGTCTGTCTGTCTGTCTGTCTGTCTGTATGTCTGTGTGTGTTTGTGTGTTTGCGTGATTGCGTGAGTGCGTGCTTGGTTGCTTGCTTGCTTGCTTGCTTGGTTGGTTGGTTGGTTGGCTGGCTGGTTGGTTGGTTGGTTGGTTGGTTTGCTCTCTCTTTGTGCCATGTTTGATCTTTTTGGAAGATGTTCTTTTTTTTGCGAAGAGAAATTAGTTTGTCGGCCCCTTTTTTGATGGTGCTGACCTCCAGTGACCTGTTCCGCTTTTGTTGCAAATTGGATTCCTCGTAGGGCGGGCTGCCCAAATTTGCTTCCATGGCCGCCATAGGTCTGGGTCATTTTGAAAGATGCTAGAGAGCTGGGCTAATGGCCACACACCCCAAAGTCACACCAGGACATGAAATGCAATGCAGGTGACCATGAACTCCAAAATGCAATCTGTTGTTTAGCGGAAGCTCCTTTTGGGGGGGACCTTCCGGGGAACCCACTGGTTGGCAAACCCATGTTAATCTGGGGAGTACAGGGTTACATTGCTGTGGTCTAGGCAGGAACCAGAATCCAAGCATGCAACATGTTTTAGGGGATAAAGCCGAGGTGGTCTTGCTGAAGGCCCTTTGGGCGCTTCCAAATAGCTGCAAGAACTCGCACTGTGCCGGTTCCTCTTAAGGGGTATGGTGCTGCTTTCTTGCTCAGTTCATCACTCAGACGGTTGAGAAGCAGCGCAAAACCCTATTGCCATGCTTGGTAGCTTCGACCTGGCGGTCCAAGGGCTAATTTACGCTCGGCTGTCTGGGCGTTGTGGCAACACCAACAGTCAATGGGTTCTGGCCGCTCAGTTACTTGTTTTTGCTTTGTCCCTTGGCTGAGAAAGCTAAACTGGCAACATTCGCCGCGCAACCCCTTTTGGGTGGCAGCCCGGCACTGACCAGGCCTGGTTGGTACTTTCCAGCTAGTTGGGTTGTATGTAATTAGGGTAAAGTACTCTTGATCGGGGTGGTGCAAGCATATGAGGGGCTTCTATGATCCTATCTTCATTTGGTTTGAGTCAGTGTATCCCAGATGTATCTTCAGCAGGTCTGTACTTGGTTAGGCCCTTGTTTGGTAGACCGTCAGACCTGCATCCCTGGATTTTCACTCCCTCTTTTTTTCACATGGACCTCAAAGCCCCTTGGTTCTAGACGAATCTCCTTTTGAACATCGCAGCCACGTTTTAGGCTCCTTTTGGACAACTTCCTTTTTGGGTTCGGCGTTTATCTGAGTTGTTTACCGCCCTTGTGAGCCGCACCCAGGTGCAGTGGAAGCACCACGATGGCGCCACCGCCCTGCACGTTGCTTGGGCCGAAAGGATCAGCAGATGGATGGCTTGGCTTTGGTTTCCCTAACCCACCTTGTGCTATGAATGTTTAAAGTCCTATTCTGATTGACTCCAAAACTCAATTACTCAAAGCGCAATCGACACCTTTTGGCCCACATTTGGTCAAGGTCGCAAAGGATTGACCTTTAAACCCACGTCCTTTGCGAAAGTGAGCTCACCCTGCTACGCTTGTTACAAAATCCACGCAGACACCGGCTTGCAGATGGTTTATCAGCAAATATGCATGGGCTTCATCTATCCCAAAGGGTGCAAAGCAAATGTTTGTCCATCCGCGGCATGTGTCATCTTTTTGGGGCAAGCACTTTTCCGTCTTGCTTGCCCCCTTTTGGGGTGGTTTAAACATTCACCTTTGAGGCGAACGTTAAGAAGCGAGTTCCTTGTGACAGGATGTTGGCCACGGCGACCATTTGACCCAATTTTGGTTGCGTTGCGGGCCCAAATGGTGGACGAGTACACCCGAAGGGGTTTCCATGGTTTCACAATTTTGGCCACTTGTCAAGGTCCCAAACGCTTCACCCTTGACTTTTAGATGGTCGTTTCCAGTGAGCATACGCTTCACGGCATGATGGAACCCCAACTTGGGTTTTGACCCCCTGCAAACAGACAGACACCCAAACGGTTGGCCGGTGGTGCCAAAGATGTTCCTATTGACACAGCCGTGATCCTCTCATGGCACGTGAAGCCTTCAAAAGAATTGTCTTTTTTAGCAAAAGAGGCTTTCACCACGTACCTGCCATGGTTCAGGATAGCAGCCACAACTGATTGAGGTGTGTTTGTGGAATCTCAATCTAGCACTGGACGTAGGGCACATGATTGAAGGCAATTGGGAGAGGTGGTTTGAGGGTACCCATTTTGCCGGCAAAGGGAAGCCAAACAAACAACCTACTCATTTTCGGCATCCGGATTAATATGCTGATACATAAAACTAATTTGCAGATGGTGAAAACAGGCTTTGCATGCTTGCTTGGACGCTTGAAATAGATTTGCTTTCATACCTCCAGTCCCCGTTTTCCCTTTGCTGGTTTGGTTGAATGGAGGTTTCGTTGGACGTGAACCAAACAACAGGTCTGTGTTAGTTTTTTGCGAAAAACGCTGGATAGCGAGAGCCCTCCTGGCAGCTTCAAGAGGGACCTGTTCAACCGTTAGAAGCGATTCTTGCAGCCGTCAGAATGTTGGATAGCTCAGTGGCAGCCCCCCCGGGAGGACTGCGCTATCGCTTTAAAGGAGACTGGCATCCTTGGAACTTGTTTATTCAACACCGCTGGGACCATGAGCCCCTGGATGACCCTCAGTAACGTCCCAAACAACAACTCGCTAAACACATACCCCCGCCGTTCCAATTGCTTTCAGCATCCAACAACTAAACAACCAACAAGGTGAGCTATCAGGTTGAATTGCTCAACCCCACCCCTCCTACGGCCAATTCTTGTCACCCCGGCCCACCATCGCATTGGTCAGGCTGGAATTCGCAAACTGTGCAGTGTATGGGCAGGTCTAGAGTGTAACGTGAGCATGCAACCGAATTTTGGCTGCTTGCTTTCAGCAGAACCCGTCTACCCTCCCTCCAATAATCACGGAAGCTGAGAGGAGGGTTTGGAAGACTATTTTCCTCTTGGGAAACCCTTCTGTTAGAATCCATTATTTTGCTGGACAGAGGGTAAGAAGGTAGTTCTCCCTTCAAAGGGACCCGTTGGTGTCACTTCGAAAGGGGTGTCCATCGAGAGCTGAGTTTCAGGTTGCCACAGCTTGGATTGCGAGCTCCCACAACTCCAATCTCCGCCGCAGGCTCAGACTGAGAATCAGGGGTCTCCGCTTGGCTGTGTGCCGGTTTGTTAGGGGACCCCCAAGACGGTGGGTTCCCAACAAAAACCACAAAAGCAAGACTCTCGAAAAAGGACGCGCCCGCTTGGAAGAACAACACGCCGTTATGGTTAAAAGCATCTCCTGAGGAATGGGGAAAGAGCCCTCTTTTAGGTTTGTGAAGAAATGTGTTCTTCTGTATGGCGGCTCAGTCTGTCTTGGGCATGTGAGTGCATGGTACAACCGCTTCATACTTATGAACGCTAGTTTCCGTTGCAAAGAAACCTCCGGGTGCAACTTGCTTGGTGGCAGTGTACCACTTCCTAAGCCATTGATACTTGCAGCACTTGGTCCAGTCCATCTAATGAGGACTTCCTGTTCGCTTTCCTTCCGGCCGGTGCGACACCAAGCCAACTGAGAGCTGTTTTGCTTAAGGTTTCTGTGAGAATTCAGCTGCTGTTTCTTTTGCAACCGGCTTCACTTGCCAGGTTGGGTTCTATAGTCTATTTCCGGGGGTCGACATGAATGTAGAAGTCTGAGAAGTAGCTCCCTCCAACCCGGGTCCCAGATGAACAAGTTGTTCAGGTGGAAGGAGGCCTTTGTTGAGCGGAGCTCGAGGCATACCGCCGATGGGTGAAGAGCCGCGGGCGGTGATCGCCCGAGAGCCTGGTCAGGTTGGATCACGTGCTGCGTGATATATCAACCATTTGATACCACCTTCAGGCCTTGATGGCGGGCGTGCGCCTTTTCAGGCTTTCGCATGTGGCTGTCAGTCAAAAATAGGTACCCAGAATGGAACCCTGGTGAATGGAAACATGGACTAAGACCTGCGGTCCCCTGGTGGTTTATTTTTTTGACCCACACCCATGTGGAGAAGTCCATGGGAGCCGGTTTGTTCTCACACTTTTGTTGTTAGTTAGGCCGCGTTGAGGTCTCGCAGTATCATGATGCCGGGCAGGCAGCTCTCGTTTGCTTGGAGGTTGAAGCCAAGGCCTTGCGGCTCATTTTTGCGACGACCCCCCAGGCGAAGCGCGAAACAGATGCGCAAAGCAAACCCACCTCGATAGGTCCAACTGACTTTGGTTTCTTTGTCTGTTGCCCTTGCTTGCTTGGGTCGCCCTCCCTTTGAGAATAGTTCAAGGAAGGAGTTTGCTTAACAGAGAAATACAGGTCCTTGACACAATAAATGTTCAGCGTTTAGAGGAGCCTCCAATTTTGATACACGTGCACAGAGTTGGCAGTTGACAGCTCAGCAAGAGCTTTACCATGTACGCATTCCCAGTTGCCAAGTCATTCACATAGGCTAGGAGCGTACCGAGGTTTGTCAACCAACCCCCCTGTCCTGCATGGATGGTTTTCCCAAAAACACAAGAGTCCGGCCTCCAAATTCGCACCTTGGGTTTGGGTTGCTCCCTCCGGCTGTTTCCTTTGGCCAAAACATGGAAGTGAGGTTGGAACGTGCGTTTGTGGTCTCATTTCCAGAAGATGTCGGTCAAGCAGAATCTGGTTGGATACTTCGCTTTTATCAGCAACCTACCACTTAGCTGACCTTAGGTGCAAAATCCTCTCGCCTGCCAACCCACTTCAAGACAGACTTTGGCAAAACCATTGAGCCAGTCTGGGTGTTTTTTTCTTGTCCCTCAGGCCATCATCGATTTGGGTGGGGAGTGGCCCCTGAAATTCCATTTCTGGTTCCATTTTCCCCTTATTGCGAATACTTAAAAATGGACTTGGGTCCCGGACCCCCCACCCGTCTCCCCCGTCTCCCCGTCCCTTATGAGGACGACGATCTCAGGCCATGATGCTCCACAACGGGGTGGACCCCACACAGACGGAGGGCATGTCCAAGGGCGCCGGCCGCTCCACAGGCCCGGGCTGAAGTTCCGGCGAGAGGTCGGGGAGGTTCCGCAGTTCCGCCTGGGGGAGATTCGAAGATCCCCGCTTTTGGTTTGACGAAGCTACGGTGGATGGCGGCGAAATCCATTTCAAGCACCGCCAACCAACAATGGCTTCAACCATGGTTTCAAAGTGGTGCAAGATTGCGTTCATCCACAGTATGTCCACCAACCTTCCTGTGGATGATTCCTATCAGAATCTACAGCATTTCGGGCAAGGGGACTTTCTCACAAGGGGGTTGCAACCCAACTATTCAAACAGCACTTACCCCTTTTCCTGTTTGTTGGGGGCTGGGAAAAGCAAAACCTGTGGGGCGCGTTGAAGGGGTGCTTTGGGGCAGGACTTGTTGGCAGAGGTTGGTTCCGTGGTGTTTCCAGTGTTCCTTTTTGCACCTGTTGGAAGGGTCGAACGTTGCTGCTGTTTCGTGCGGGCATTCAAACAGCTGTTAAATAGTGCAAAGTTTGGGTGGACATGGACTCCCACTCCCTGAGTTCTGTTTCGGACTTTTTTTGGGGGGGGAAAGACTTATATATAGTAGTAAATAAAGAGTTTGGTTCTTTGCGACAATCCACACAGGAAGTGAGGACTTGCTGATGTTCAGAATCGTGAAGTGTTGTAACGTGGAGAATCTTCATTTTCTGAGAACCGGCCACTAGTGTTGATGTTTTGGAAGCTGAATCCCATGAGGGGTCTGGAGCCCTTGCGCTTTGGTTGACATTCTCTGCAGAAAGCCAAAGGGTCCAATAAACCATCCATTCATACAACTTGAATGGTGTCCAATTCAGGGTCCATTTTCGCCCAAAGATACCCGGTCAAGTTGCGCCTTGGACCATGGGCGAAGGTTTTACGAGGCCTTGGGTCGGAGCAGATGTGTTTTGCTTGCCAAAAGTTTCGTGGCGCTGTGTCCTAAGTCTCAGCAGTTGGAGAGTTATGTTTGGTTCGTAGCGATACTGGCACGTCAAAAGTAATTGACCCTCTTGAAAGGTCGGTCCTTGACGCTTGGACTCCAGCTCTATAAGTATGTAGGAAGACCCTGAGGGATTTGTTTGGTTTTGCATGTTGGGCATGTGAAAATTGGGGGACCTTCAAAATAAAGGCTGTCCTTTTGATTCGCCTGCGAAAGCAAGGTGAAAAGGCTACCCTCATTACACATACCCATTTGTTTGTATGAGCAGGACAGTTTTCGTTTTACGCAAGACCGATGCTGGCGCAACGAACTTGGACCTATCAAGCCTGGATATTTGAGTAGTGTTGCCTACACTAGGCTGTGGCACACACACACACAAACACACACTTGAATCAGCAGAAACACGGACACATCCAGCTTCTCATCATCGCGAGAGACTTGGATCCTGCAAGCTGCGTGGGTGCAGCCACATCGATGCTTTCAGCCAAAAATATCCATGGAACCAGGGTACATGTTGTGCGCTTTCAAATTTCGGGCCCCAAAACACGGATTTCCCCTTGAAATCGCATCCACCATACTGTTGACTTCGGATTAATGCATCGGACTATGCCTTCATCCGAGGAATTATTTGAAACGCTTCCCATCAGGGCACCCTTGGTATGGTCCTCCGGATTCCGCAGCTGGCATTCGGGTGTGTCTTGTTTTGAGGGCACTCCATGGCACTCCTTTTTGTTTTGTGATCTTAAAGGGAAGAAATTCTTGTGGGTCCCCTAAAAATGACACCCCCATTTGGCGTTCAACATGGAGCCTTTGGGCGGCTCCAACCGAACCTCCGCAGCGCTCCGGAGGCATGACTCCATTGGAGTCCTTCCGCCGGGAGATTGCGAGGCCTGAGGTTTCGAGGTGGCAGCTGGCGACAACGTTGACCCCGGATTGTATATATATATAATGTATACATATGTATAATATACACATATATATATATATATATATATTTGTATCCAGGCTGATTAATCTGATTAATTGGCCCGTTTGAGAGAGCATCCTTCAGTTTGGGAAGAAGCTCTTGTTTGTTAGTCTGCCAGGTTTCTCAATCCAGGGTTGACATAAGTGGCCTCCTTTTGGGCAGTCGCTTACCTGGAAGCAATGTTTACCCTTCCACCATGCGAAAGTTGTCTCCCAAAAGGGGGTTGTGCGCTTCTCGTGTTTGTTGGAGGCAGGGTAATTCGACTTTTTTTGGGCTTCCAGCAGGGGGTAGCAGTTGTTTAACCAGCGTAAACTGGCAAGGAGGTGTATACGGAGCCTGAAGAGTGGTTGGTGGACATCAATCCCGAAACTTCCATCAAAGGGTCCCTTTCTGAAATTCATAGCCAAATTTGGTTTGTTTTTTCAAGGTTTTGGGAGTTGTCTTTCTAGTTTTCCAGGACGAGCACACCAAAGAAGGGGTGCCTGCCAAAAAGACAGACCCAAGGGCTTGTTGACATCCGACACTGGCAGGTCACCCTGGCGAACCCACGAGGTCTACGGGCGCCGCTCGTGAGAAATTCCGCCTTTTTGCGCTTCCACGTGGACCCCGTTTTGGTTGGTATAATGAAAGCAACTGCATCAACTTCAGGGTTGGTTGGGATGTTGACCTTTACCTCGTCAGGGAAACCGGGAAACCTGTGTTGTGAGCATTTGTTTAAGGGAACCGTCTTTCCAATGACCACAAAGCTGAGCTTAGGTGGTTCAAGCGGACACCTTGTTTGCGGAATCCTGTGTGATATGGATATTTCCCAACAGACTCTGCACAGGTGTTTGACACGCCGTCGGCTGTATCAGTCCATCAATCCGTGCATACTGGTCACATCGGGTCACCAGTTTGTTGAGTGTGCAGCTTTATTATGTTGTGTATATATATGGTCACCCCCCCCCCATGATCCACATTTTGCCTCTTGCAAGCAAAAAACACTGGAAAAACACATGTAAAATGCTTGTTTTTGACCACCTGTTCCAGGATCAGATTCTGATCCTGGAAACTTGGGTCAAAAACAAGCATCATTCTTGATGAGTAGATTAGTCAAAGATTGCGACATTCTTGATGGACAGATGTTAGGCAACTTGAAGCAGATGCTTACAGATGGTTTGTGTGGACAGCCTTCTGGAAAAAAAGTTAGCAGGGAGCAGATGGAACTTATGGAAGCAGCATGCAGAAAGTGCTGTACTGTCCCTAAAATCCAGGCTTTGGAGGCTGAAAGTGCTGTACTGTCCCTAAAAAACCTAAAAAACCATTCCAAAAACAGTCTTGGGCACACAAACCTCCTTCTGGCAAGGAATTTTTGGTTTTTTAGGGACAGTACAGCACTTTTTTTGGTTTTTTAGGGACAGTACAGCACTTTTTTTGGTTTTTTAGGGACAGTACAGCACTTTTTTTGGTTTTTTAGGGACAGTACAGCACTTTTTTGGTTTTTTTAGGGACAGTGCAGCACTTTTGAGCATCAGCATGCAGAAAGTGCTGTACTGTCCCTAAAATCCAGGCTTTGGAGGCTGAAAGTGCTGTACTGTCCCTAAAAAACCTAAAAAACCATTCCAAAAACAGTCTTGGGCACACAAGCCGCAGTACAGCACTTTTTTTGTTTTTTAGGGACAGTACAGCACTTTTTTTGGTTTTTTAGGGACAGTACAGCACTTTTGAGCATCAGCATGCAAAAAGTGCTGTACTGTCCCTAAAAAACCAAAAAAAGTGCTGTACTGTCCCTAAAAAACCAAAAAATCATTGCCAGAAGGAGGTTTGTGTGCTCAAGACTGTTTTTGGAATGTTTTTTTAGGTTTTTTAGGGACAGTACAGCACTTTCAGCCTCCAAAGCCTGGATTTTAGGGACAGTACAGCACTTTCTGCATGCTGATGCTCAAAAGTGCTGTACTGTCCCTAAAAAACCAAAAAAGTGCTGTACTGTCCCTAAAAAACCAAAAAATCCTTGCCAGAAGGAGGTTTGTGTGCCCAAGACTGTTTTTGGAATGTTTTTTTTTTAGGTTTTTTAGGGACAGTACAGCACTTTCAGCCTCCAAAGCCTGGATTTTAGGGACAGTACAGCACTTTCTGCATGCTGATGCTCAAAAGTGCTGTACTGTCCCTAAAAAACCAAAAAAAGTGCTGTACTGTCCCTAAAAAACCAAAAATTCCTTGCCAGAAGGAGGTTTGTGTGCTCAAGACTGTTTCTGGAATGGTTTTTTAGGTTTTTTTAGGGACAGTACAGCACTTTCTGCCTCCAAGGCCTGGATTTTAGGGACAGTACAGCACTTTTAAGCATGCAGAAAGTGCTGTACTGTTTTTTAAAATTGTGGATGTGGGAAGGCAGTAGCAGATGTTTGTCACTCCGACGAGCTGGCTTGCATTTTTCTTGCCTTTTTCCTTCGAGCGCATATCCGGTAATCACTGCTTGTGCAGTGCCTGCAGCATCTGGCCGGTCACCTCCCACATATTAGCGCGGCGATGCCAGTATTCAAACTGACACCCAGAACCGGTCGATGATCTGGGTGCCGCTCTTCACACGCACCTTCTTCCCGTCCGGCAGCTTGACGTCGTACTGCTTGGTGTAGTGGGGCTTCACCCAAACGGCCTGACAGACAGGAATAACAGAATCAAGTAGATCCCTTAAGAGGCAGTTAAAGCAGTTTAGGTCAGAGTTACTTGCCTTGCCGTTGATGACGATGCGCTTCTTCTTGTGCACGACGTTGCAATGCCTCACGTCCGGCAACCTGAGCTTGTAGGCTCTGGCCCCATCGCTGTGGAGGATGACTTTCCGGCCCGCGATGTGCTTTTTCGCAATCGGCTGCCAGTCCCTCTTCCTGATGGGACCTGGCCCCGGAGATCTCTTTTTGGTGAGGATGGGGTTGAGCCTGAAGAGCACCAGCGAGGATGGCCTTCCTCGCTCCACGAGTCCACCCCACTGTTCCCATTTCGTGTTGAGGTTTCCCGCCACGCTCTCGTCGGTCAACTTGCCAATGTCGACCTCGTCCACCTCCCACTTCCCGCCGAAGACAATGTCCTTCTCCTTCTGGGTGACGTACTGCGAGCGAGCGACCTCCAGGTTGTGGTAGATGCGCTCCACTGGCTTGTGGTCCATATCCAGGAGCAGGTGCGCCGCATTGCTCGAGACCCCCACCACCGCGCAGAAGAGGACCGCCACCTGCTTCTGAAGTGGAGTTGAAGAATTGCCAGCAGACATGAAGAAGATGGGATGGTAGTCATGAGGCTGAAGTTGCTTGTGGCAGGCACGCTTCTTGCACCGGTACGCCCAAATCTTCTTGTCATGGTAATACTTCAGGGGCCCCATTACGCCGTTGCCACATCGAGGGCAAGTTCTGCCTTCCCAGTCTGTGAGGATCTTGTCCTTGTGGAGCTGCTTGTGGAGACGCTGTCCAGTCAAAGATTCCCAAGTCAAAATCGAACGCCCCCAGCGCGCTCTGTGGCCTTTGTTCTTGGTAGTGGGCATGCCATGGCGGACATATGGCACCGGAGCAGGATTCTTTGAGGCAGGCCTTCGCTGCACGCGCCACTTCCCCCGCTTAGGATCTGGGAACTTGGCCTTCACGGACTTCATGACCTTCTTTGGCATGATGGGCAAGATCAACTACAAAGGATCAAGGCGATTGAAGCAGATGGCTGCGTAAACGATCAATGCGATTCGCTTCCAAGCAACATGTGCAAGCAAGATGGCACTGGAGACCTAATGTTTTTTTAGCCAAGCTCCATGTCTCTATTGGGTTTATATTTCTATCTTCTAGAACAAAATCCGCTGAGTGCGGCTCACACGCGGCTCAGTTGTCGTCAATGTCCATGGCATCCGCGAGTTCTTGGGAAAGGGTTCGGTATGCCTCGATGTCATACTGGTCGGGAATCTCGTCCATAGGGTCCACCACATCAGGAGAAGAAGCCGGCAAAGGCACAAGGACCTTGGTCTCATCCACCACATCGGCTGCTGGAGGAGCTGTAGGGTCAGAAAGCTTCTCCACAGGGTCCACCGCATCAGCTGCAGCCGGTGCAGCAGAGGCTGGGTCACTTGCATCCTCAGACGTGTCTGACAGGTTGATCACCAGAGGGCGCAGGTTCAATGGCTTGGAAAAGTAGGAGGGATCCACTGGCTCTTGCTTGATGTGCACCTTATGCGTCTCCTCTGGTTCTTCTTTGATACCCTGCACGTCCTCATCCTTCTCTTCTTCTTTTGTTTTCTGCTCATCCTCGTCCTTCGGCTCGTCTTTGGCATCCTGCGCATCTTCGTTCTCCTTCTGTTCTTCTTTTGTTTTCTGCTCATCCTCGTCCTTCGGCTCGTCTTTGGCATCCTGCGCATTCTCGTTCTTGATCTCCTTGAGCAAGTTGGAAGAGGACTTCACAGATCGAAGCTTCTTAGTGGGCGGCTCGTCGACGGCAGCGCCAGCATCCAGGTAGTACTTGGTCTTGCCCTCAATGCCCGCGAGTGTTGGTCGATCTTCAATGACGTACTCCCTTCCTGAGAACAGTTCTTTCCCACGGGTGGTCGCACAATAGCGGACCTCCTCGCCATCCAGCGCAGCCTGCAGCAAGTTCAAACTCCACTGCATGTCTTTGTCATGATCTGCCGGCAAGTGAGAGAGGTTACCGCGCTTGTAGGCAGCCAAAAGGGGTCGGGCAGATGGAGAGATCATGCCAATATCCCGCTCTGGCCAGGCATGCCGGGGAACGGGTTTGCGGTCGTACGTACATGCCCACATCGGTGAAGACGATGAAGGTGGATCGCTTGAAGACACCGACAAGGTCCTCTTCATCGAAGTCCCTGTGGAAGGAGGGGCGCACGATCTTGTAGAACTGCTCGAAGGTCACGGTGTCCTGAGTCGAATTGGCGTCCATCGGCGGCTCTGCAGTCCTGTCATAGGGATTACTGCAAATCTGGCATTGCTGATTCTTCGCGTACGAGGACGCGTTGTATCTTGCCATTGTCTTCCTGTCGACGCCGTCCACCTCCGTCACTGCCTTAACACCTGCGGGGTGCTCCAGGTTGAGGTTGCCATCATCAAACACCCTCGGTTTCGTCCGCCTGCCCTTCTCCTTGCGGAAGTAGTCGAGGTGGTTGCATGTCTGAAAGCAAGGGCTGCCCTCCTTCTCTTGCTGAATCAACCAATATGCGGACACCACAGATGAGAGGGTGTAGGACACCGGGCTTTTACCCACCTGAGACTTGCCAATCCAGATAACGGAGTGGGACATCACATGAGGAAGAATCGGTGCAAGGATAGTGTTCAAAGCCCACGGCGTGATGCTCTTGAAGGTGAGAGGCCACTCCTTGATCGTATTAGCTTGAGAGCCTTGGTCCGCGAGGCACCTCAGGAACTCCTTGATGGTCCCCTTGTCCCACTTGTGGAGCGGGCCGTTCGGATCGTTGACCTGCTCCTCCGTCCACACTGTGAATTGCCCGTCGGAGTTTTCTTCCGGGCCAAACTGACGGATATAGGCGAAGCCCTTGCGGATGTCCTCCGTCTCTTTGGGCATTTTGCTCGAGGCACCGGCGGACACGAGCTTCTGGTAGCGGACTTGGAAGCCGCCCAGCCCCTCGAGCATGTACTGTAGTCCTCGACCACCATCGCGGTACTTGCCCTGCAAGTCGATCTCGAGTGGAACGCCCTGGCACATAGAGATGATGGAGCTGTGGAGGACCTTTGCACCTTCTAGGAATTTGATGTGCTTAATGATGTCTTTCTTGCCCCCTTCCTTGGGGATGATGAAAATCTGCATGTTGTAGGGGGCCTGGAAGTTCCCCTTCATGCGCACGGGCTCGGGTAGGTCGGCATACCGTTGTTGAAGGAACATTGTCTCTACCGCATTCAAGTCAATAGGCCCTTCGTGGTCAGCAATGACATCGAGGAACTGCGTCTTCTTTTTCACGGAGTCGGTGATTTCCATTTTAGCTGGCAAATCGCCTAGCTTAATGGAACCGGGCTCCTTGTTCACCACCATTGGCTTCTCCAGGTAAAGGATCTTCATGCCGTCGGTGTGGGCGATGGCTTCCTCCAATGTGCAGTTGCCGTCCAGGTTTGCGTTGTCGAAGGAACGAGCCAGCGACTCAGCACGATGAGGAGGCACAGATGCCATGATTGGAGCAGAAGGGAGTATCAGGAAGTTACCTCAAATTGAAATGGCTGCAGCAGAGTACACGGAAATTTGATGAGCTTGAGATGCAAGCAGTATGTTAATAGCCTCCATTGGGAGTTGGGCTAATAGTACTTCAGCCATTAGTTACACACTGCGGGGTCAAACTAAGGAGCCAGAGCTGAGACCACACACTGCAGCCATACCAAATGTGGATCATGGGGTTGGAATATCAGAAAGTTGCCCAGCTTTGCAATGGATGCAGTATAGCACAAGGAAACTTAATGAGCTTGATATGCAAGCAGACTCAGGCGTACATGGTCAGCAGGCTTTTTTTCCTTGCGGCTTGGAAAACTGAGAGAGTAAAAGCAGTCCTAAGGACTGTCCCATAAAAAACTATGGCAAATGCCTCTCACTCATAATCAAGCCAAGTTCATTCTCTTGGAGGACGGTCTCCTCGCTCGTGCTGATCTTGAAGTGCAAGCCTTCGAAGCTGAACACTTCCGATCCTTAGATGGGCAAGAGCAGAAATGACAGCAGAAGGACCCCATAAGAAACTGCAGTTTTCGACTCGATGAAATCGGCCAAGTAGCCACATGGTAGATAACCTACTTTTGTAGGCCATCTGGATGGAGCGATAGGGCTCGGCGTGGCGCTCGTTGCCATGGCTGTTATTATTTTAACAGCCTCCATTGGGAGACGGGCTAAGAGTACTTCAGCCATTCAAATTAAGGAGCCAAAGCTGAGACCATACACTGCAGCAATGCCAAATGTGGATCATGGGGGGGGGGTGAGCATATATATACAGATACATAGATAAATACACAGACAGATAGATAGAGAAATTTAAGAGGGATGGCTGGCTGGCTGGCTGGATGGATGGCTGGCTGGGTGGGTGGCTGGCTGGCTGGCTAGGTGGGTGGGTGGGTGGGTGGATGGATGGATGGATAGGATGGATAGGATGGACAGGAGGGATAGGATGGATAGGATGGATAGGATGGGTAAGATGGATAAGATGGATAGGCAGGTAGGTAGACAGACACATAGACAGATAGATAGATAGATAGATAGATAGATAGATAGAGACATACTGTGTGTTTCACAAATGTGGGTGCACTGTGCGGATACTTTGAGCCACCAAATTGTGAGAGGGGTGCTTGGAACAAATGGGTCTGTCTCCCCCTTTTTAGTGGCTTTAAAGGGAAGCACCCATTTTGGGGGGTCTCCAATTACCCCGGCACGAGACCCCAAACAGTGATAGGCGGCGGTCACACGCTGCAGAGTATTGTGCGGGCTGCGCCGCAAAACGGCGGTTGTTGTCAGGAAGCTGCAACATCATTTTGCGGTATTTGCGCGCACATTCACAAAGACAAGGACACGGCCTGGAACAGACACGCGCAAGAGAATGCAGCAGACACGTGTCGAAGCCAGCGCCATGGTCGTGTGTGCGTGTGTTTGTGCGTGTGTGTGTGTGTGTGTGTGTGTGTGTGTGTGTGTGTGTGTGTGTGTGTGTGTGTGTGTGTGTGTGTGTGTGTGTGTGTGTGTGTGTGTGTGTGCGTGTGTGCGTGTGTGTGTGTGTGTAAGCATCACTACAAAAGGCAAGATCTGTGTGTTTGTTTCACCAGAGTGCCTGAGTTAGTGAGTTAGCTAGCTAGGTAGCTTCTTCCTTTGTTCTCGATTGTGGCGCTGTTGCTGTTGCTGTTGCTGTTTTTGGGTGTTGTTGTTCAGAGTACCATCGAGACGCCGTCGCAGCACAGAAGCACCATCCAAGCATGCCCAAAGAAAGGGAAACAAGCTCGCGCGGACAGGGCGGGAATCGAGCCCGGGACCTTTCGCCGGAAACCCGTGCCGCCGGACCACGAGACAAAACCCCCACGGTCCCCGGAGCCGCCAAAAAAGCAAAAAAATCGAGTTTGTGCGAGCCTGCGCAGTCGAAACGCACTTCAACATCAAGCAAGAGCAAGAATCTGCGGTAAATACCACGCAAAACGCTCGCGGCCAGAAGTCGCCAACTCACTTTGTGCGAGCCTGCGCAGTCGAAACGCACTTCGACATCAAGCAAAAGCACGAATCTGCGGTAAATACCACGCAAAACGCTCGCGGACAGAAGTCGCCAACTCACTTTGTGCGAGCCTGCGCAGTCGAAACGCACTTCGACATCAAGCAAGAGCACGAATCTGCGGTAAATACCACGCAAAACGCTCGCGGCCAGAAGTCGCCAACTCACTTTGTGCGAGCCTGCGCAGTCGAAACGCACTTCGACATCAAGCAAGAGCACGAATCTGCGGTAAATACCACGCAAAACGCTCGCGGCCAGAGCGGGCACTTCAATCTGGCACCAAGGCCTTTTCTCTTACCGTAAGAACCCCTTAGTGTAGACACACTGTTTGGGGAAAAACGACGTGCCCAAATGGGCGAGACCTCTCGCATTAGGTCAGGCTCAATGGAGGGTAGCCCTGGCTTGCAAAAGGGCGGGGCGGTCTTCGGATTGTTTCGTGCTCTTCAGGTTTCATTAGGGGATAGCCTGGATGAAGAAACCTCTTGAACTTACTTGTTTCTATCCCCAGCGGAAGTGTAGGATCCCCACAGCCCATTAAACACACACAGACACACATGGAACCCCCAACAGCTTGATTCCTGGGCAAACATTCAGCGGAGAGCAGACTCATGCTGCGGGCAAGGAAAGTTCGATCAAAACGCCAAAGCCATCCACACTCTGCTGGAGCAGGCGCACGCGCGAGTGCCGAACGCAGGACACGCGCCTTCCAAGGCCGCCTTGAGAGCTAACTATCTACCACACTGTTGCTATAGTGGAACAAAGGCATCTCCGGGGTCAAAACGGATAGACAGCCGCATAACATAAGATTGTGTGGTGCAGACCAGCGTTACAAACGGTAGCTAGTGAACACATGAGGATGGGGCAAAATTAGTCGACCAGGGGACTGCAGATTAGTGTCCATGTTTCCATTTACCAGGGCAACCCATTTTGGTACCAATTTTTGACCCACAGCCACATGAGGATGACTAAACACCTGCACCTGTTTGTATCGCTAGAGATTTGGCTTTTAAGCTTCGAGGGGGCATGCTCTGTCGGACGTATCGATTGGTAGGTGTTTTTCCATGTCTCGCTCATGTTGGCCACCAGCAGAGGTTCGGTTTGCAAACCATCCCGGAAAAGTGCGCATATGGGTTCGTTCTATGGTAGGGAACCCCCTAAAATTGTGGTTGCCCCTAGTGTTGCTGTGTGTGTGTGTGTGTTGTCTTCTTTGCTGTTTCTGCCTTGATTTGGCGATTGTTGCCCATCATGTTTAGAGGAATCTCCTCTCAGGGAACCCTTTTTTGGAGTCCATTTTAAGCTGCAGGCGAGTGTGTATGCATATATATATACATTGATTGATGCATAGTATTCTTTATGTTTAATCTATACATATATATATAGAGATGTTATTGGTTTCTTGATTGATAGTTTGCTCGTATCTCTATCTACCATCAAACTGCCATCAAGGACAAACAAGCAACCAAACTATGGTAAACATCAAACTGCCATCAAGGATATATATATATATAGTCAATGACAAATCATATTATATATATATATGCATGTGTATATGTACGTAGGACTACCATCAATTTGCTTGTTTTGTTCAGGCGGAGGAGGCGGTGAAGCACAAGGCAACTGGGAACAAGGCCTTCCAGGAGAAGCGCCATGAAGCGGCGCTCGAGGCACCCGGGCGAGTCGGGCGAGTCGGGCGAGTCGAAACGCCTGGTGGTCAGCTGGCTGTTGGTTTGTAGCACCATGCAGACGGTAAGACACCCATTTTCTTGGTGGCTCCCAGCCAAAAGCCTTAGCTTTTTGGCCTTTTAGGGTTTAGGGGTAGTTTCCATTTCACCCACTAAAAGTTAAACACTTTTGGCAGGGGGATCTGAGGGCAGCCCAGTTTTGAGACACACCCATGGGGAAACAGACTTTGAAAGGTCTGGGCATCAATTGGTGTGTTTTCTGTGAAAATGTTGCGTGAGGCCACTCTTTGGCGTACAAGAAAAACGAGGCCTGGAGTCTTATCCCACGAGTGGAGGATGTAGAAAGCTGGATCAAACCGGCAGAAAGGAGACTCGCCCCAAACATTAAGCTATAAAAGTGGAGAAGCCAATGTCATGTTCCGAAAGGCCTATTCAAATGGTCGGAAAGTCAAGAAGTCGGACCCTGGTACCCGAAAGTACAAACCGAACCCTGGTCCCCTAAAGTAAAACCAGGTTGCTCAAAACAAACAGTTTGAATGTGCGGAAGCCAGTGGGTGGCTCAACCCCAGTGTCAATCTCACCTGTGAAATGTAATTTCTCGATAGTTTTTAAAGCTGTCTTAAGCTTTGAACTTGTGACAGTGACCCCAAACGCAATAGTCAAAAGTTATACCGGTGATCGGATCCGCCCGCAGCGTGTCAGACCAAGCCGAGGAAAGGCATCCTTGATATAGTCAGTGCCAATGATGTCCCCTAGGTCCCCCAGTAGTGCCCATTTACCCTTTTTTGGGGGAGGGTTCCCCTACTAAAATAGACTACAGAAAGAAGGTACCCTTATTCTAACCTCTCTACTGGAGGACCTAGGTTACATGCGGTATATTCCCCCCAGCTTCTTGTTTACTCCTGTGGAGTGTCTTCCCCCAGCTTCTTGTTTACTCCTGTGGAGTGTCTGATTTTGGTGGGAGAGATGTGGGTAGAGGACCTCGAAGTTGAGTAGTAGCCCTGCGGCATCCCTCGATCACTGCATCTGCATGATGCCCCATGTGTTTGTTTGTTTTGAGCGGCGCCGGAAATCTCATCCCTTTGCACAAATGCACGCCATCATGGCATGGTTAGGCAACCACTTTGTGCAAAGGGACTCATGGGTCGGGCAAAGTCGAAGGCCCCCAACCCCTCCAACGACTATAAGTTGTGGAGGGGAATGAGCAACACCCACCACTGGCGGGTACTCGGGAGCCCCCTTGTTGGTGTTGTTTGGAAGGGAGCCAAAAGGAAGCCGTTTGCGGGGTTCCATTTAGACACAAACTCAACTGCTGGAAGCTCACTGACGGCTAATCCTATTGGATCCGAGTTGCACAAGCTGCCCTTTTGCCTTTGTATCCATGGAGATACTTGTTCGATACGGGCGAATCATCGGCAAATTGTGATTGCAATGTCGTGGTCTATTGGAACTTGTTTTCCATAACCACAGTCGAGCCCTTGATCAGCTGGAGATTTTGCGTTCTTGAAAGTCGGGAGGCATTTGATTCCAGATCTGGCCACGGTTCCTTGTTTTAGTGGGTCATTGTGATTGGAATCAGCTCTGTTCAGACTAGCTGATGGAATGCCACTCTGCAAATTGGCAAGCAGTGCTGGTATCTCTCCTTTTGTGTTGACGCAACAAAGGCACTGAGACGGAATGGATGAGACTGTCCTTGCTTGCCTTCGCGCTTGTTGTGACTTTGGACTGGCCATGTTTGGCAATATGTTGCGTGTGTCGAAGACAGTATTTCTAGATGCCCGTAGAAGGCTTCCATGAAAGTACCTGGAGTCTCCATAACCCTTTAAAATTGAGTCCATGACCCCATTATTTTGGGTAATGACCCCATTTTTAAAGGGTCATGGAGACAGCCGGTGTTCCTAAGATGAGAAGCCTCCTGCGAGTTGTCAAAATGGAAATACAATGCTGCCTGTGGGGAGTCCATGCAAGGCCCATGTTGCAAGAGGGGATACCCTTCCACCCATGGAGCCAGAGCGTCTTCATTTCCATGGCATCCCTGAATTTGTGGTTTGGTGGTTGGGATTTGAACCCCTGGTTCTTGAGGATAAATGGGAACCTCCCGTAACCACCAATCCACACCAAACTACCAATTGACGGAGTCAAAACAGGGAGTCGGACCCAAACAATGGTTTTGGGTTTCCCTTGCCGTTTCCCTTCAAACCCAATAGAGAGCACCTGATATGGCTGTGGCTTTTGTTTTGGACGGCCCCCCCCAAATGGCTTCAGATTTTGTTGGGCGTCCCTTTAAAACCTACCAGCCGGGGGTTCCCCCCAAAAACAAGACGAGGCGCCCATGTTTTGAGCAGTTGGCTCGGATCGCCAGGCCTGGCAGAAGGGGCGCGAGACCTGGGAGAAGGCGGGAGAAAGGGCCGAAACGTCGATTTGGGGACCCGGTTCGACACGGAGTGAGCCCACAGCCATGTGTTCTGAGTAGCCCAGGGTTTAGGGTTCAACCAAGGGGTTCTACTTTTGGGGAAATCTACCCCTGGGTGAAGTCTGTCTTGGGCAAATCAAGAATGGAACGCTGGTACTTGGATGATCTGGGAGGTTGCCCAATCCTACCTACCTTGATGGCCAAGTCGCTGCTTTTTTGAGTCACTTGCTGGGTTTTGGGGTAAAGTTCATGGAACAAAGCAACTGGCGATCCAGGTAGTCCACAATTCCCCCTGATTGGTGTGGATTGGTGGTTTGACCGTGGGTAGCAATGTGGCTCGTCTTCTCTTGAGGCGTTTTTTTCTTCTTCTTTTTTCCCGGAGCGGGTTTTAGGGGAAACAAAAAAGAAACATCAACCATTTCGGGGGTTCTCCCATGTTGAGACGCACCCGTCGCGCCCGTTTGGTTTGTCGCAGTTTTTTAGTGGGTACCCTTCTCAGGTTTCACGGGAAACCAATCGGAAAACCCACATTTTTGGGGTGCCGCTAGTTTGACACATACCCATTTGACTTCCTTTTTGCGTTTTGGTTCAGGGTCCAATGAGCAATAGTGGGGATTGAAACAAACGGAGAAAAAAGGCAATGTGAGTCTGGGTAAACTATTTTGTGGCCCACTGCTCAGGCTTGGGACCCAGATTTTAATGTGATTCGGAGACCTCAAGGACATGTTCTTGTACGGGTGTTCTGTTTTTCAGGTGGATCCCTGTTTGTGGTGGTTTAGCGGACACCGGAAATCCCCAGCATTTCGGGGCTCCAATGTTGAGATGTATGGAGGACAGGGCTGCTGGATAGGGTGGGGTTTATACCATGTTCAGGAAAGGTACCTTGGCTCTGGTGCGGTGATCCCTGAGCTCTCTCTCTCTGGAATGGAAACTGAAAGAGGGTTGCATCAGCGAAAATGGATTTCCAGGCTTTCCCTTTCAGGCTTCGTGCTATGCAGGGTCACGTGAATTTGGAGACCTTTGTCAACCATGCCTCGGCCAAATTCCGGGTCCGATCCCCGCGGCATTGCGGATCTCATGCGGATCAAATGAATTGATCGAGCTATGCAGATTGGTCTTTGTACTTTTACCCTTCAACTGCGATTTCCGTCAATAGGATTCTGGCAACGGGATATGGTTAACATCCTTCAGTGTCACATGATCTACCGCAACACGCAAGTCTATCCACCTCGCAAAGAGGTTGCAACCTCACCCAGAACTTGCTGGTCCTCAGCAGGGAATGGGAAATGGAATGACCCTTATAATCCATCCAACTGGTGGTTTGCTTTAAGAAGATCCCTGGGCGCATTCTGACCTTCCTTATCATCCGGCACCAGCAAGATATATCAAAGCGCTGACCCGGGCACCCAGGCAGATGTGCGGGGACATCACGTGGCTGTGCTATGGAGCAACGAGGCAAAGGGCCGAGTGCCGATGTGGGGGACGTGGCTCGCTTTTCCTCCTTTTTTTTTGGTGAGGGCAGCTTTTCAGGACGGTTTCGAAAGGAAAGCACATTAGAAACCGGATTGCCATCTATTTGGTGGGTTCCCTGGTTTGAGACAAGCCCCCGTATTTGCGTTTGTGATAAACAAGAAGATCAGACTTGGTTGGGTCACCACGGGCCCCGTTAAAGTTCTCCACGCCCACCCAGTTTGGAGCGCTTGGAGGTTCCGTCTGTTTTCGAGGCCTCTGTCCAGACTTTAGGCTCACCCAGATGCATGAGGATTAGAGATGTGTCAGGGGACCAATGTCTTTCTCCAATCTAACCTGCAAAGTGGCTGTGGGTCAAAACCAATGGTACCATTCTTGGGGTGGGTGCACCTCATTTTAGTCTATTTTAGTTGGGATTGGCCCATGGCCAAGTAAGTCTTGAATCCAGAAGCGCACACAGACACACTGCACAGGTAGCACCTGATGCAAGGTTTTTCAGGTTTCGACGAAGCCGGGGAAAGAACCAACCCAAATTCCATCAGTTCAGGGTTCCCCTTCGGAGCGTTTGGCGCCAGATCATGGACCCCCAAGGGGCTATGGGGAGGGGGGGGCCATCCCTTATTAAGCCCTTAATAAGGCCAACAAAAAAAGGGCTTATCCTTGGGTTATCCTGGGCTTAATCCCCCCCCATAGCCCCCCCGAAGATTCCATGAACGAGGCGCCGATTTGTTGTCCCGATTTTTCGGCCACACCGTCGCCAGGCGGTGTGCCGCAGACAGATGGGGGACCTGCAGGGCGCCATCAAGGCGTGCGAGGAGGGCCGCCAGCACTTCACCACGCCCCTTGGAAGCGCAACCATTGGAACTGAAGGCCCATTGCCGTATGGTGGCTCCGTTCCTGCCTGGCCTTCAAAGCATCCCGGGAAAAACAAAAACACATATTTGACGTATGTGTTTTTTCTGTAGCGTCGCCTTGGAAGGTGGTTTCACATGTTACTCAGCAGGGCTCCTTGAAAGATACATTTGCAACCAATTGAAACATGGCTTTTTCCACCAAAATAAGGGGAAACCCGGGTAGATGATCCGGTTAGTAAGGGACAATCCCAGCCATGAATAGTTGCGGATATCCGCCTTCTTGATTCTTTACATGGTTCTGGGTCGACCATTTTAATACCGGGTTTTGATTGTGACTCACATGTTATTCAGGAGCAGGAATGCCGGTGCTCAGGGAATGAGGGAATAACCCTTATAAGCCATCCAACCGGTCTTTGAAAGGGAATCAGGCTCATTCAAACTGAGCGCCCATTGGCCATGGTGGCTCCGTTCCTGCCTGGCCTTCAAAAGCATCCTGGAAAAACCCGCATGTGTTTTTTTCTTGCTGGAAGCCCATTGCCATATGTGACTTTTTGTTCCTGTCCAAACGGCTTGGGCCACAAAGAAATGCCGTATACGGTCATTTAATAATACGGGTTGCGTACGGCCAAAATCGGCCGCCGGCCAAAACAAAATGACCATACGGGATCAACTTTCCAAATACGGCTTCCGTCCGAAAAATGATGGCTATACGGCCTTCCAGGATGAGAATCGGGTGTGGTACCTTTGACCCAAATTTCCTTATTGTGGGAAAAATCCCTTTTTTGGGGACCAGTCTTTGTGGACTTTGGTGGTTTTTGTAAAAGACACCAAAGGAAAACCACTATTTTGGGGGGTCTCCTAAAAACTGCTATTTTTGAATTGTTACCCTGCCATGCTTCATGCAGGAGGGTTCAAACCGCACTCCGGTTGGAAGTAAGTACCTTTTGGTTGGACAGAGATAGTTTCTATCAGACGGCTCCCAAAGGAACATCGCCCGCATGCTTGGAGGGTCCAGTTTACTTGGAACCGGGACATGAAAGACATGTTCAAAGCTCCGGGTCTCATACGACGTCTAAAAATGTAGTACGCCCTTGTCCCACATATACTTCCGTTTGCTTAAGACTATCCCTGTCGGTTAAAGGGAATGACATATTTTCTGTTTTTTTTCTAATTAGGGGGCTTGAGCAAATGGAAGTATAAGACCCTGGGCCTACCAGCTCACTGAGGCCACAGATTCAGCAGAAGCTGGACCACAACTTGGCTGAAGCAAAGAAAGGGCCCAAGGAGACTTGAGCAAAGCGGGCTGGAATCGCCAGATGCGGGGATGCCATTTTGAGGGAACCATAAATTTTGGAGTGGCTCAAAAAGGCGACCAAAAGGAAACCTGCCACTTTGGGGGGCTCTCCTTTTCTAAGACAAAACATACATGTGACAGATCAACATGTTTCATTCGGAAAGAATCATGTTGTCATTTCGAAAGCCCTCGTGACTCTTTCTGAGATTCCATGCGAGAGGAGAAAACCCACCCAACAGAAACAAAGAAGACCCATTACAAAGGGAACAGCCAACAGGGACATTTCGTTTGCAGCGGCTAAAACAAAATGTAGACCCCTTTTTTGCGTGCCCAGAGGCTCCTGGGGCTGTCAATGGAAGGCCCGACCCCTCCATTAGACACCCCGGAGGTGGTTGGGGGTCTCAAAACCAGGTTGTTGGAAGGCCCTAAGGTGGGTAGAATCCGGGTGGAATTCCCCGTTTTTGTTCAATCGAATGGGAAGCCTCCGGACGTTGGGAGGAAGTGTCGCCGGATGAAGTCCAGAAGAAGGAGGTCTTGGTGCAGCAGCTGAAGGCCCTGTGGACTGAAGCCACCTGAAAAGCCCCACTTGGCGGCTTTTCCTTTTGTTTGGGGGGGGAACCCTAGGGGTCTGGGTGAATTATAGCGACCTCACACGACCGGATTCACCGCAAATGGTGGTTTATGTGGGGAATATCCCCCAACCACCTTGCTTCAGGTATTTTTGGTGAGGAGCCCAAGACCTCATTGTTTGAGACCTTTGCGGGTTCAAGGCCCTCATATTTTGGTTCTCGGGCTCCTAGGGGAAGGGTTCCGCTTGAATCTCAGTTCATGCATTTCCCCTCCCCAAGCGGGAAGGTCTGATGTTTTGCTTCGGCCGGGATCTGGGCTCCACTCACTTGAGCTGGGGGGCTGGGGTCTTGAGCGATTGGGCGGAGCGAACCAAGAGGGGATGCCCTTCTTTTCCCATGGCCAATGGCGCACCATATGGGGTTTTCATGTTGGTTTCTCCATCCAAAATGGGGTTGACCATGTTGAGAAGCTCCCATTGCAGGCGAACACAACGGATGCTAAGATAAGAGTTGAAGGACAGTGGGTTGATTCCTTTGCAGTGTAGTGGTTTTTGGGGAGGCAACACACAAAATGGTGCCTTTGTTTGCCATGGCTAGGGTTTGGGTTAAAGATGCTAGCTTTTAACAGCGTGTCCATTCCATCGCCGACAGATTCCATTCACATGGCCGGAGAATGAAACAATCGAAAGGACCATCAAGTTGAGGCCACTTCCTATGATAAGGGACCCCCTGCAGAGTGACAAAGTTGGAATGACCCATATATTGGGTATCCTCAAAACTGCTTGTGCTTTTGCCTTTCCCTTATCCAACCAAAACGGGGTACCCTGAAAATATGAGGCTCACCGTGGTATCACTGATTTCGGGTTTACCACCACTTTTGATGCTTCGCAAAGGAGGAGTTTTCACGTTGTTCACTACAGACACTACAGCAAGTCACTTGCCGGTTTGGTCATCCGAGAGGACCTTTTCAAGGAAACAAAGGTTGGTTATAACTGCTATGTAGCTACGGGATATTCCAGGGGTTGATTCCCCATTCTTTTCAACCATCGTTCCTTTCAAAAACCTGCCGTTTTCCCTGGGTTTCTGAAGATTCTCTAGAAAGAAGGATTCCTGGAAAGAATGGGGAAGGTATCCCCAATGTGCTATGTCCAATGTGCTTGCGGTATTGGTTTCTTGAACAGACCTTCCGGGTGTCAATGGTAGGAATCGGAGCCCCAAAAATGGCAACGACCAAGTCCCATGAACAATCCCTTCCCAGAACCCCTGCGGATTTCTTACGAACATCCCCAGCCAAAAGTGGAATTGGGGGAGGGGCGTGACCCTTGGAGTTTTTCGTTCAAATTCTCATTTTCCCTTACAGGTCTATTTTTCCTTTATAGTTCTATTTCGCTTTGAGGAGAAGACCACCTGAAGTCTCCATGACCCTGTAAAAATGGGTCCATGACCCCATTCTTTTGGGCAGTGACCAACCATTTTAAAGGGTCAGAAGGAGACTCCAGGTAGAACCACGGAACTGTGTTCCGGACCCTACCCGCCCGAGCTAAGAGAAGCAGCGGGTCAGGAGAAGACCAAGCAGCAGAAGGAGGAGTTCAAGGAGATCACCAAGAAAGCGGCCGCTCGGCGTGGGAGGCCCGTGGCCTTTTTTCGGCCGGCCGCCACCTTGCTCGGCTTGGAGGAGAAAGTGTTTTTGTGTTTTTCTTTTATTGTTTTTTTTTTCCGGCCAGCCGCCACCACGGAAGAGAAAGAGGATCTGACTCGAGGTTTTTGGAGCTTCCCATAATCCCCGCCGTTTCTGTAGAGTGCATTTTGCCAAGGGATGTTGGGGCTTGAAGACTTTTTTGCCAAGGAATCTGGGTTTTCCGTATTAAACCACTAACAGTTATTCACTTTTAGCAGGGGAGCAGAAAGCAACCGAGGTTAAGTATGATAGCATCCCGAATAACCTCAGAAGCCTAGCGGGTCCTAAGAGAATGGGCTATCCCCTCTTGTGGGTGGGATGTAAAAGGCAACCAACCGAAAGCAACCCGAACATGCTTCTCTTGGGACAAAACACTGTTGTTGATTTTTTTGCGAATCCAGGATTAACAAGCTGCTAGTTCATTTACTAGAGGAATGACCCATGCTAGCGGGAATCCTTCACTTTCGCAGAATAACCCCACTCACACTTTACTACGTTGATTAATCCAGGTTGACATGAACCGAGCAACTCCAGCAAGGGCCTCTGGGTGGATCCATCGATCGTCGATTAGGTCAAGTCGGACGGCGGGATCTACGGCGAGCAGGGCAGCGCCCAGAAGGACTATGCCGCTTGCCTGCAGAGCCACCAGCAAAAATCCGTGATGAAGACATGACCTTTTCTATACTCCCCCAGTATCGCGACAAATCCCGGACAATTCGTTTGGATTGTGGGTGGCTCCTTTTTTGGGTACCCCGTTTTAGTGATTCAAGAAATACAAAATCCCGAACCCCCAGTGAACATCCGATTCAAACATGGGTGGTGAATTCACCTACCCCAAAATGGTACCATTGGTTTTGACCCACAGCCACATGACCTCTTCAAGACACCCCCAATATCGCGACAACTCCCGGAAAAAAAGCGTTGGGCTAGTGGGTGTGTTTTTCTTTTTGAGGGTACCCCGTTCTGGTGATTCACGCAAAAACCACATGGAATATCCCACCATTCTTGCAGGGTCCTATCTGCATTTTGTGCTGCTTCTCTTTTTTTGGGTACGCCTTTTTAGTGGTTAAAACAAATCCAAATGGAAACCCACCATTCCTGGGTCCTGGCGCATCCGATGAGCCTGCGGCATTGCCGAGGTGGTGCCTGGGCCCTTCATTTGTCCCATGAAGGAGGCCCAGGAGACCGGAGGGGCAGCGAGGGATCCAGGAAGCTTCCCTTGATTGTTTCCGCTCGGGGAGGGCACCCCTTTCTTGGTGGTTTTCAAGGAAAACCACGGGGAAAGCCACAAAATTTGGGGGGAGTTCCTTTAACAAAAATGACACCCACTTGCATGTGGCATCTGAGGTTATCTTTTCTCACGCACGAATCTCGCCATTTCGGATGGGTGAAAAGAGAATCCGGGAGGAACCCACCCACTTGTTGGGGTCCTCATTTTTGTTGGTGAAACACCTAGCTGACCTTCTCAGCTTGTGTTCCGTTGTCTTTTCTTCACGTTCCAGTCATCTTGTTGCATGTCTTAGCCTGGCCGAGGGAGTTCCGGCCACTCCTTGCAGTGGTTTCGCTTCACTTTGAGCTTTTTTGCAAGATCAATGAACACTTTGCTGCCAGAAAACCAATTGTAATGGACACACACTAAGAGCCACTATTCAACAACAGACATGTCGTAGGGCTGGTTTGGCCTCTTCCTCCTAGTGAAATTTGATTCTCAACACAGATTGGATCATCGCTTTAGATGACAGTTCCAATCTGCCAGCATTATGTCTATTGATTGTAAAAAACGGATTGCGCTGCTCCCTCATATGTGGTTGTCTGCGCTTGTGGATTTCTATGTGCCACGGTCAAAAGACCTGCTTACCTGGGTTTGATATGGGTGGTCACGGAAGAATATTCATTAATATCAAGGTCCATTCATACCAAGGGATCCCTGACCATGCCCCAGATCTGCAGTTTTGACCATGGCCAAAAGGATTTTAACGCAATTGTTTTGTTGGGCTAGAGATTGATGCTTCCGTCACAACCGGCTAAATGTGTAGGAAATGCATGTCATCTCTCAAATACCGCAGAAAGTGTGTGGGCTGCTCGGAGCTTCTTAGATGTGGCTTATTTGAGTACGACATGGTGCATGCAAACAACTTCGTCCCTTATGACGAAGGACTCGCGGAGACAGTGACCCTGCCCACCCAAGCAGCTCCTACCACGTCAGGGGCGTCGCCAACAATAAGATGGCGCTTAGTGCCTGCCGCCTTTGAACCGGGTCCGATTAATACGAAAAGCATTTGTTTTGAGCACCATTCATGTTTCATGTGGGTATTTTCCGGAGGTAGCCGTTTCAACCAAACGGAGAGAATTCGGACCATCCTACCCCCTCCCCCGCCCCAAAACCTCCCCCCCGAAATGTTCTCAGAACCCCAGACTACAAACCCCTTCCTGAGCCTTAGGACAGATTTCACGGACCCAGGACCCCAAGCCCAGGATTTCTCTCGGAATGGCAGGACATGGGCTTGGGGCCGCCTCCCGAGCCCAAGCCGTGGTGGGAGAAGAAGGATGCGCCTGGACTCGCATAGATTTTGCGAAGCCTTGATCAGCTTTGCAGCTTTTCCTGCGACACCGTAAGGGTTTAGGGAGGTGAAGAGTTGGTTCGTTGGGTTGGTTAGTTGGAGTTAACAGTTTGCGAAGCCTTGAGCACCTAGGGATTTAAGGACCTAAGGGTTGGTTAGGTGGGTGGGGTTGGGCTTGGTTAGTGGCTAGGTTGGTGGGTGGTTGTATGTGGTTGATTGGTTGGTCGGCCTGGTGGCTGGCTGGTTGCTTGGCTTGGTTCGTTTTTGTTGCTTGCTTTGGCTTGTGAGTTGTGGGTGGGATTTTTGATGGGCGGACGGGTGGCCGGCCAGCTGAATATCCGAGGCGGACTCGGACGAGGAGCCGGAGAGGACCAAAATCGGCTATTTGCCGGCTCACCACCCCAATTGGTAGGAAGTGTGTCATAGTGTCAAAAAGGGATCTGGACCACTTTAAGGGGGGGTGTCGTTGTTTTGGTAGGTGTCCCTTAAAACCAAAAAGGGCACCTGCACTCCCCCTTATACGCCAAGATGAAAAAGTCTACCGAGCTACAAAACAAGCCCCCGTCCCCGGTCTTGCGACAGCCTTTCACTCGCGATGGGGCCGACGGGAGCAAAGAGCATGGCCTGCCGGTTGGAAAACACCCCTCTCCTGTGAGCAACGGACGGTTTCCCAGAGGATTGGTGTTTGTTGATGGTCCCCTTGTTGGTTCAGCGACAGAATGATACGGTATCGGCTTTCGGTGGTTCTTCATAATAGTTGTATTGAATGATGTGTTAGTTTTTAAGTGCCTTATGACAAAATAAGTGTGAACTGTTTGCAATCCTCCAGAAAATGATCATTAATTACACTTGTTGTTAACGGGGAAGAAGAAACGAACCCGTGTTATCCAGTTTTAGGTACCCTTGTATATAGGGGATGACACACTTTGTTCGCATCATGTTTCCATTACGGACGCACACACACACACACATATTTATTGGTAAAGCTGGGTTGGACCGAGGAAGTCTTGGCTCATCCACGCAGGTGAGCAACGGACACGAAAACCCACTGGTTTTGGGCGGGCTCTATGGTACCTTGTTGGTTTCCGGTGGCCATGTTGTCGGATCGGCAGCCGCTCGCTCCTGTTCCCTTCGCCGGTTGCGCCAAGACGCGCTGTGCGGAAAGGAGGCCACACTTGGATGACCAGGCCCAAGAGTAAGTGGCGAACAACCTCAGCTAGTCAATGCCTTAAGTGGGTTGTATGTAGACGATATCACTCCAAAGAAGATGAATTAACCTGCGTTATTAAGTTATTCAGCACTTGCTCAATGGGCAGGACCATCCAGGCACTGCCATTTCTGCTCTGTCCGCGTCTTTTCCGCGCAGTTTGAAAGCTCCGAAACAGAGCGTTTGCCCTTGAAATCAAGAGACAAGCGTGAATTGGTGCAGACCTTGCATGGTGCCAGCCACTTTGTAGAGGCTTGGTATGCAAACTCCGATAGACCACATGCGCGACAGTGCCTGACGAAGGAGATAGGGCGTGACGTTGAATGGCTGTGTGCCGATCATGTCGCCACTCATGAGCCTACCTGGCATGCACTCCTTTTGCAATCTATTTGACCAGCATATCGGAGATACACTCACCGCAACATGCATATGCCATGCCCTCAGGTGATGTGTTTGTCTTTTTTGTTGTTCAACGGAAACATACGGAAACCACCAGGACTCACGTCAATAGGGGTTCACTATTTGAAGACACTCCCACGTGATGAGTCATGTCGAACATCAGTCTTGATGAATCCGCTTTAGCCATTCCTTTCAATACCGCTCGGGTGAGCTGCGGTTGGCACCCTCAACAAAGCAGATGCAATTCAGTCAAGACTTGGACACAAGCCGAATTTTTCACGAAGCTTGACCTTGGTTTCTTTGCCTCTGAGTCCTACACTCCCCGGCTCCCAGCACGGAACATCCACCAGTGGGTCCCTGAATCAGGGAACAGGTGTCTTCCAAGGGCTTGGGCAGATGAAGGTTAGTGCGGGACGGTCGCGGCAGCGCATATCCGCCCCTTCTTCCTGAGAACCGCACATCTTTGTACTCAAACCAGAGGCTACCACAATGATGTGACTCAAAGCAGGGTGGCTGTGGGTCATCCCGAGAATGGAACCTGGTACAGGGAAACAAGGGCTAAAACCTGCGTTCTGGTGTTTTTTTGGACCCATGCCAGGTGATCATTTGGTTTTGAATGTTGTTCACGTTTGCCCAGGCTGGTGCTGTCGAACTTCTTCCCCGTTTGCTTTCAGCTGGCGGCGGCCCCAAAAACATGGCGAAACGATAAGGAGCAGCCGCCCGCAATGGCTGTCCAATGAGCCCCAAAACAGGAGAAGGGGAGGTAAACTCACCAACCGCTGTGTCCGTTTGGGGGGCCAAAAGGCCTGGTTCCTGTTGCACAGTCGGCCTCCATTGTTGGTGAGAGGCGCTATGGTTTCCCTTCTTTTGGTTTAAAGATCCTCGAATGCGGTTTGGCGCTATGACAAAGGAAGCGTCCTATACGATAACATCAAGCCAGAGGAAATCGCGGGCCATGTGATCGGATTCAAACTTGGAGACATCTGAATCTGAGTGTATCTGGGTGCCCTTTTGTGGGTAGCTTTCAAGGGAGACAAAGGGAAAGCCACCATTCTCGGGTCCCTCATTTTAACACATATGCTGCATAATGCGTGTACATATGAGCGACTGCCTTCATTGACAGAAAACTACAGCAAAGGCTGGCCGGAAACACATTTTGGGTACCATACTGAATTAGGTTCAAAACGAGGGAGGAACACCCCCCAAAACGAGGGTCGTGACACATAGCTGGTTGAGCTCACAAACACATGCAGCGTTGGACAACGAGGTCAATGAGTCCAAAGAGTGCAGAGTTAGACAACGGTCTGGAACCACGCGACCATTTAACCATGTAGCAAATAAATGCCGTAGCTGATTATATATATATATGTATATATATATATACACATGTATGTGCACATTAACATACATTCCAAGTGGACCCGTGACGGAGTACGGTGGGGCATCAGGGTGCCTTGAGAATGGATGCATCATACGAACCTGCGAATGCCCGGCAATACCGCAAGAAAGCGATACGCAAACCATCCAACATTGTTACCCGCTGCCACGCTTTGATTTTGGCACACATGCGTACCTTACATTTTGGAAAAGGATGTTCACTCATTGGTTGAACCTTCCCTTTTGCCAAGAGAGCAAGCGCTTTTTGCCATGTACTGTTAACCGTCAGGAGGGAGGCTACTCCGCAGGGCCTTGAACCTCCAAAGGCCTCAAACAATGAGGTCTTGGGCTGCTAGGGTCTGGTTATAGGCCACTTCGGGGACTTGTAGCCCACTTCCGGGACGTCCAAGGGCACATTGACAATCTGCCCAGGCTAAGTCAGCGACATAGCCGATCAATGTCCTCCGCAGGTAAGCTAGCAACTTGCCCCACCTCAGTTTCACCCCTTTTTGGCAGAAGTCTCCATTGAAGAATGGTCAACCCAAAAGGAGTGGCACCCTTGAACACCGTCTGAGATTGGTGGCTTACGCATTTAAAGTATGGCCTCGAAAGCTTGGGTTCACTCAACATGGACGGATTTCTGGGGCCATCCCACGATACTGCATTGTTGGCTTACCAATTAAGCTTTAAACCCTAAACCCAAGAACACCTTCAGCCCCCGTGTCACTGTCTCGTAACCGGGCAGCCTTCGATCCGGCGGAAGAAAAGGCAAACATCGAGTTGGTGATCCGATGCTCTTCGTTCGGCTTCAACAAGACGGTGCTCAAAGAGCTGCAGCCTCAACGCGCCAACGGAGGGGCTAGGTTTTAGTTTGGTTTAGGTTTAGTTTGATTTAGGCTATATTTTAGTTTGATGTCGGTTAGGATGTAGTTTGGTGTATGTTAGTTTTGGTCTATGTTAGTTTTTGTTAAGCTTGTTTTAGTTTTTTGTTTTTTTTTGTTGGTTTTGTTTAGGTTGGTTTCGGTTTGGTTTAGGACGGGTTTAGTTTGGTTTAGGCCAGCTTCAGTTTGGTGTATGTGAGTGTTGGTTTGGCTTAGGTTGGTTTTAGGTTTCAGTTTGGTTTAGGTAAGGTTTAGGTTTGCTTTAGTTTGGTTTAGGTCGGTTTTAGTTTGCTTAGGTTAAGATCTAATTTGGTGTATGTCAGTGTTGGTTTATGTTATTTTGTATTTAGGTTTGCTTTGCTTAGTTCATGTCAGGTTTAGTTTGATCTATTTTTGTTTTGGTTAGGTTTAGGTTATGTTTCAGTTTGGTTAGGGTTTGGCTGACTTTTGAGTTTAGTTTAGGTAAGGTTTTAGTTTGGTTTAAGTTAGCTTGGGTTTGGTTTAGGTCGGTTCTAGTTTGCTCTAGGTTTGGTTTTAGTTTGGCTTTTGGCTAGGGTTGCTTTAGTTTGGTTCAGGTTAGGTTTAGTTGGGTTTGTGTTAGTCTTGGTGTTGGTTTATGTTGGGTTGTAGTGTCGTTTAGGCTGGGTTTTAGTTTGGTAGGTTACGTTTTAGTTTGGTCTGGGTTAGTCTTATTTTGGTTTAGGTTGGTTTTAGTTTTGCGTTGGTTAGGTTTGGTTTGATTTTGGTTAGGCTTTAGTTCGGTTTAGCTTAGTTTTGACAGGCTTGGGTTTTTTTCTTTAGTTTGGCTTAGGCTAGTTTTGTTATTTTTCTGTTTATGGGTGTTTTGGTTAGGCTCAGGGTTGTTTTTAGATTGGTTTAGGTGGGTTTTAGTTTGGTGTAGGTTAGCTTTCTAGGCTAGCTTTGGTTTGGTTTCGGTTTGGTTTTGGATTGAAGTTTCTGGTCCTTGTTGTTGGCAGTTGATTCGGTGGTTGAGCTTTTCAAAAGAGCACCGCCGGTTTAACCAACCTGTTTGACGGCTGTAGCAGGCTCTCCTTGTCCGGGTCCGGGTGGCTATTGTGGATTCTGAGTGCCGAATTTTCAAATCTCCTCAAAAGAGCATATGGATTCTTGACCAGACCTCAAAAGAGCTCATGGTTGAACCTCTGGATTCTTGGAAGTCCAGTGGGGCAAGTGGAAGGACTTCCATGGCTCTGGCTTCTGACATCCAGGCGCTCATGGATCTTGACAAGCGTCTATCATTTCCGTGTTCGCCAATCGCTTTCTGCACAACAGCCGCCAGCTTCGTTCAAGATCCGATATGTGTTTGTTGGGGGCTTGCCCCTTTGGGTTGGCGGTAAAGTAGCCCCAAAACGAAGCCAACCGTTTTGAGGGTCCCGCTTTCTGAGACAAGCCGTGTGTCTTTTCCATGTCAAGCAGTGAACAAGCCAAACCTTTGCCAGTTCCGAATGCACCGAACCCCCCCCCTGTTGGCCCCGGGCCTTGGTGCCACACTTCAGATCTAACTTACCGGCCCGAACTGCAAAAGTCCACAGGTGGAGAGCTGGAAAATCTGCAAATGCCGGCGCTGCGAAGTACCAAGGTAGGATTTGAGGAATGG